ATTTAAAAGCAATTCGAAAATGTTTTGTAATCAAAAGTAGATGGCTTCCATTCCATGACGATATCCAACTGAAACTACGTCAATCACAATATTCATCGCACATCTTCATCTCATTCCACTGCAGAGAAAATAACTTCTAATTAAATTCAGACAGAAAGAAGGAAATTGAGTTTTCCAGGGGTTTCATTTGACAAATATATAAACCAGACGCTAGTCTGTTGTGTTTTTCAGTACTCTCAAATGGCTAAAAATTACAGTTTCTTATTTGCCGCGCTGTTAGTAACAGTCTTTGCAAATAGTATGACGCACCAACGGGAGATACTGATTGACGATGAGGGGCCGTTGCTGAAAGTCGATCAAGAAGAATACGAGGGGGGGAATTCCATAGAGGAACCAGCTGGACACGCAACATGCCATTTGGAATACCAGGTGAGTTCTGCTTCATTTCGAACGAGGACATGGTTTATTTCGAAATTTTTAACCCTCTTTTTACCTCTCAATAATTCATTTCTTCAAGATAATTTTCAGGAAATGTTTGGAAAAAAATCGGGTGAATTATTTCGCTTGAAATACCGTCACATAGGTTCCTAGGCAGATTGATATCTCTAACCTGGGTCTGCGACTTGAAACACCTGCACCAGAACCGAAAGGTGTTTTTGATCCATATGTCCATCTGTCGGGGGATCCAGTCCTCTCTACCCGGGAACAGTACTTTATAAGGCAGTTCGTAGTTGACAGTTGGAGGTATAAAGTCAGAGGACATTTCTGTGCTGCTGTCACTTCCAATGTCAACCAACAGTCTGTTGCACTCTGCATTAAATTGATTTATGCAATTGGCAATGTGCACAAGTCTATATGCAGTCCATCTAGCCTCTCTCTCTCCAAAAAAATGTGGAGAGGAGGTAGACCTACAAGGATTTCCATGGCCGCTGACGGTGTAGTACTGATGGCACCACTGATAACCAAACAAGCCTGTCTCTGTAAGCCAGAGAGCTTTGCCTGGGCGGTTTTCTGGTGTGTGTCTTGACGTACTTCTTTTCCGGACGACGGGGTCTCAGTTTTACTAAAAATATTGTTCTTTTATAATTGGAATTTAATTGAAACCAATTGTGTTTGTTAGCAGTAACAAGGAGCTTCTTTTCATGAAGAGGTTCAACTGTCGTGTCCTTGATCGGAACAATCGTGTTATCAGGAAACCACATCAAAGCTCAGTAGTATGCCTCCAGGACCTAACTTTATATCACTACTCTTTTCGATGAAGTGTCCCGTGTCCTCAATAAATTACTCTGTATTTCCTATAAATGGCTGCACTAGGGTTGTCAAACATTTGGCCAGCTCATAAGTTGGTAAACCTGTCGCATTTACGACAGGTCTAAGTGGCACATTCTGTTCATGGAATTTTGGTAAGCCACATAGACGTGGCGGAAAGGTTTCCGATTTTTATATGAACTTCTTCTCGTTCTCTCTTTCTGAATATCCGAGAGGTCAAGTCCCAACTAAGTCTTTTGTATTTCCTTGGATCTTGGTCTGAATTGAGTAGTACTAATTGAATAGTTATATCGTATATTCGTTTATGCCCTTTTTTCTGCTTCACAAAAATCATATATATTTTGGAACGTGGTTGTGAAAGGGGGTAAGTCTCAATGACAGTGACGTCACAGTCATTTTTCAAACTTCCATTTTGCTTCGAAATGGAAAAGTTTGAGTGTTCTGTCCCGGCGAATGAACATTTTTCTTCTTACTATTCAGATAGTAGGTATTATCTAGGTGATGAACATATTAGATTAGTCAATGCTTTTTCATTTAAAACAAATCAAAATTTCTCTTCTCAAAATGTATACAACCCTGTATGATAATTTCATATTATGTTTCAGGTCATGAAGAGGGTTGTTGGAACTTGCATCAAATTAGGAAGAACAAGTCAGGGTTGTGTAGCTGGAAACTATTTACATCCGCTTCATCCGGACTGCATGTAATCCAATATCAACCATAATGCCTTCTAATAAACTGGAGCCGCCGCTTCTGCTTTTCCACGATAAACACATGGGCACGAAATAAGTACACCTACTCTTTGAGATTATGCTTTTATTATTATGATTTCGCTCATTTTCCAATAAAAAAGTTTCAAGGATGCTGTTTTTTTTTTTCAACAACTCCACTTATAGTAGGACACTGATATAACAATTTGTTGGTAGGAACCATTTAGTTCTGTAATATATGAATATTAGTGTCATCGGTCAATGGTCATAACAATTCATTGTGATATATTTTCACTGGATGGATTGCAAAACCGCAAACGTACACGTGTTTGCTCTATACACGCTTCCTATGGCATGTTTATACTCAATGTATAAGTATGAATATGTCGATTTTACAAACTGTTCAGTGAATATCACATTGAAGTAGGTATTACCCGAAAATGGGTGAGTTGATGATGCAGATGTAATTCTTTGGTTGAAAAAAACATTTTCTTCAAATTAAGGACTGTATTTTACTGTTGAGCCAGTGCAACTTTAATATTATATAGGTTTTGTGGAACGTAAACTTTGACTTATTCACAGTTTGATCTGTAACCCAAGACATCTAGTATATTGGGTCACAGATACCCAAGACAGAGACTAGGTCGATTTAGCAAAACTAAAATTTTGATGGCCGATTCAAATTTTCCAATTTCAGTTGTTCATTTGTCCATTTGATAAATAACTGAATTCAAAACAAAGTTATTTATTGGGCGACTGTATTCACATTCCTTTCTATGCTTTGTGTACAACTTCCCAATCGGGAGTTCATCGTCTAGATAGGCCATCTACCGGACATAATGAAACTAAGCCAGATGGTAAAACAAAAACCGCATGGTTTGTTTGGAGGTGTTCCATAATGAATTTCATTAGTTGGGACTTCCATTGTCTGATCTAATATATAAAAATGGATGTTTGTTGGTTGGTTGGTTGGTGAAAAACTTCTACATTGCTCAACCGATCGTGATGAAACTTGACATGTATAAATAATTTTTCATAGAGAAGGTTTTTAGGCAATCAATTTTTCTGTAACTTGCCACTAGATGGCGCTCGGGAACAATTTTTTGAAAGCACTGTTCTATAACGCTGCGCACGCCTAGGTTCGTTGAAACTAGGTTTGTTTAGGTTCTGTATTTCGAACTGTTATTGAACCGTCCCGTCACGACGCCGAGTCAATGCGCAGAACATTACAGTTACAGAACAGTTCTGGAACGGTCCCAACAAGTAAAAAAAACCAAAACAGATAAAAAAATTATTCAGGCAAGTGTATGAACAGAGATTGGAGGTTAGGTACCTCTACTCTGGTATAATGATCATTGCACTTTTGAGTTAGGTTTATAGATAAGAGTGAAAAATTTAAGCAAATATGCAATTGAAGTGTAACGATGCATTTGAAAAAATGAGAGCAACAGAAATTAACTAAGACGTTATCTCCGGTTATCCAAAATTAAATTGAAAATATATTGTCTTCTCTTTGTAATCTTATACTAATGAGTTTGTCAAAAACAGGCCAAGAATAAATTTTTGGAATTGTAAAAAATGTGATGATAATAATGATTATTACTATTGCCACATACATTTCACGTCTGTCTGTTATGGTATAAGAATAATGTTGATATATAATTTTGTCTCATTTACAGGTCGCAATGAACTCTCCGAGCTTCTTTGTTTTACCGGAGACAGTATTGTAGATAAAATATCAAATGAAACACCAACTAAAATACGGATAAAAATGAGATTAAATAAACGTCACTACCAAAATCCACAACGCAAATGAAAAATGTTATTAGTGCGCAAGAGCAAAATCGAAGTTCTGAACAGTCCCTACTCAAATGTACGAACTAATAATTACCATTCTGAAATAGTTCCGAATCGATTCGGAGAAAACCAAAACATTTTGTGAACGATACTAGAACTAACTGAACCAAAACACATTTCAATAACTGAGCATGATCGAACTGTACAGAATTGTGAACCAAAACAAACCTACTGATTCTGTCAAAACATTGGAACAGCAGCGATACAGCAACATAGTACTAGTATGATATAAAATGATTTGAAATCCCTTATGAATGAAATTGAAATGAATTGCTGAAAATAACAATCATATTAAGCAAAAAATCATGAAATGAAATAATAAAATAAAATACAAGCAACAATTGAAAATCTAACAATAAAAAAGTAAATAAAAATTAAAAGATTTCAAGCAAAGTTACTTCACGACGTTTCGATTGTTAGTATCCACAATCGTCTTCAGGTGATGGTTCATCTAATCCTCTTCTAATTGTTTTGAAATACATGCGTCAGTCTCATTTATTTTCAAACTTTTTGTCACGTTTTATACCTTTTAGGTTTTCATTATTATTTATCAACTGTAGCTTTCTCTCACCCTTATATAGTTACAGTATTCGTATGTATTGTATATGTCTGGATCTGGATAAAATTGTTGAATGTATGTCCAGATTTGTGCAGATACATCTAAACTCTGTATTTAAGCTACTATTTTAGTATGATTTGTACTCTGTAGGTATGTATATATGTATGTATATAAGTACATCTAGTTGTATGGTGACTGAAGGGAATTGCAGCTTTGTCAATAAGACCTGATGTTCTTTGGGCAATAAAGCATATTATCAATACTATTATTATTTTGGAGTTCATTTCGTAAGCATGAGATAACACTGGTTGAGTTGTAATTTGTTCAGACTTTACAAAAACTTTGACAAAATCCTAAAGCACAGTTAGGACATAGATCCTAAAAGACAGTTAGTCCTTTGGGATCTGTGTTTCATGTAGAAAACACTTTTGTATCAGTAATTCAAATGAATGGGTATATCATTATAATTTGACGTAAGTATTTCACTGTTGTATGTTTTGAATCTGCATTCTACATTGTTAGTTCCAATGTATTTACTGGGTTTGTACTTTAATCTCAAAACTCAAATTCGAGAAATACAGCTTCTATAAGAATGAAATAAAATCACAAGTCAACTTCTTTAATTGTAACAAACCTTGAAACAATGAACACTACAACAATAGTACTAATCACCACAGTAATGGCGAACATATAAAAAGTTTCTTCGGTAAACACATCCGTAAATGCCGGCATATTATCATACACATGTTCGATGAGTTTCAGGTGAAAATCCTTCTTTTTATTTCCCATCTCAACGCTTACGTTGCTTCTTCGCTGCTAGCTTAGTTGTGGCGCTTGGTGCAACAGGGTCTGGCTTCACTTTTGAGCTTATATGTTTGTTTATTTGTTGAAGAATCTCTAACACCGTCAGATTATTTGCCAGAAACTTGATGGTCCTTAAAACAAAATAAACACGAACTGAATTATATTTTTTTTGTAAATTGTGTCAAGAGTAACAGTTGTAAGTGATTTATACAATGTATAGCTTATAGTAATCGTTAAATACTATTGAGAGGTGAAATGAGGGAGGGACGAGATCCAGCAAACACATGGCAGTAACTGTAGAGAACAATGGAAGTGAATTTGTGATAGAAATGTCCCGTACACGGTCCAAACACTTTGCATACGGGGTCTGTTCAAAAAATAAGTTGAATGTTCAAATTTCACGGGCTATGTACATTCGTTAAGCTTCTTTTGCATTTTTTTTTATGTTGGTACACTCATTTTGAACATATTTTCATAATTTCACCTGTTTAGCATGTTTAGTTTGTTATTGAGAGGCATAGAAGTTACAAGTGTTTTGTGTTTTCGGCAATTTTCTGCTGTCTAAAAAATGGATCAAAGAATTTGCATAGAATTTTGTAAAAAAAATTAAATTAAGTGCTCAGATATTATTTTATGATCTCTATGGTAAAATATATTCAAAAGACTCATCATAAAAAGACCAACAAGTCAAAAAAGGACAAAGATAACAAATCAGAAGTCTACAAAACAATATGTGGATTATGCCAGAAAGTTTATATAGGAAAGACTTCAAGAAATTTCAAAAACAGAATCTCCGAACATTAAAGAAGTTTTGAGGTGAAGGAAACTAATTCCCACTATGCTTGCCACCCTTCAGAGAATAGCCACTATTTCAAAATGGACTGTGGAATCAATATAGATAAGAATTCAAATTTATTCAAAAAACACTTTATGAATTTTGTCATTATTTACTAAAATAACATTATAGAATAGTTTAATGATGACCTTGTAGCATAACACATCTTGAATTAAATTTACCGTAAAAATTCTATAATTACTATCATGGATAATATACTTAGTACGTTGGAGTTGGTTGGTGAAATGTGTGTAGAGATAAGTATTGCAACACTATTTTCCCAAGTCAGAGAGCTTCCGAGTAGAAAAAAAATATGAATAATAAGGAAATAAGAATGGGTATAAGAGAGTAGGGACAGTTGTTTCTTACCCGGAATCCGACAGCTCTATTTTAACTTCTGGCTCACTTCGATCACACACCACATTGGGCCTGATGATGCAATTGAGATTCGTTTCCAAAACTTTGGGTGAGGAAATGTGAAACAGGAAATCTCTGTAAAAAATGGCAATTTATGAGGTGTGAACCAAATATACGCTTGCGCTGGGCTATAATTAGAAAAGTCGATACATTTCATGGGTTATGTTTTCACCTGGCCGTAACTGCATTAGGATGGAAAGGGTCGAATTGAACTTGTATTTTTTTCACGGGCTTCAAGTTCACAAGTTTCAGTTGTTTGTTGATTGCACTTATAACACCAGCTGATTTTGTAAACGTACCACTGTAGTAAATAGACATTTCAGTCGGAAAAAATAATTTTTTACAAAATAAAAAACAAGGTTAGAAAATATGACGTCTGTGACAGATGACTTATGACCAGTGTTGCCATTCCAATAAAAAAACATAAAATTTGAGCTGAAAGAACTAAACAAACTCATAGAAAAATGAACACATACTTGAATCATTCCTGCATCAAATTATCATGTTATATAGATTTCAACGGCCGGTGTCTGACCGTATATCTGTTATAATAACTTTACCTCTACCTATGTGAAATATTTTGATGAAAAGACTCGATCTACGACACTCTCAATTCTTCATAAAATAAGATTCACAGAGGCGCTAAGCGCACACCAATGGAAATGATTCTTGTTCCATCTATCAACATGTGTACAAAGTTGACATCTCTCATGTTTTTGGCTTTTACTTCCATTCAAGCGCATTAAGCCAAAAGTTGTGATTAATCTCATTTCTCGCGTCAAGAGTCTCTGACGCGAGAGATGAGATGAATCTATTCCAACACCAAAGTTTCTATGCATTTTTGTGCGTTCCAACAACGTTCATTGATTCTTATTGTTCAGAATAAAAATTTCTTAACTTTTCTTTGTATTTAGTTTCAGTGTTTCTTTTCATGTATGTACTACTGTCTTATGGTGGGAGCGAATTTGTTTCTGTTTGAGTACAATTCAGATCCTTTGTTGGGTCAATCTCATTTCTAGCATTTCTCTTAACATGTTGGTAGATGGAGCAAGAATCGTAATACTTCACTTGATATAAATTTATTCAAAAATGGAAACAACTTCGAAAATTAAAGTGCCAACTAGACATTGTCAAGCCTCTAACGCCTCTGTGAATTGAACGCTGAAACATATTGATTTTTTTTTCCATTTCGTTATCAAGAGTAGCGTAGGTTGAGAGTTTTAGATCAAATATTTTACATGGGGAAGGGAGCCAAGGGATATTCTATTCATCTAGGTCGGCCTTGAATTTGATGTCTGTCATCCACGGCAGGACACAGGAATTTATGGGAATTTTGTCTTCTTTGTTCATATTCTCATTACACTGAGGAAATAATGGAAATACGGAAACATGGCAACGCTGTTCCAGCAGGATGACTCATTTTACTAAAAAAGCACAGGCTGAAAAGGGTAAATTTATTGAGAATGGAATGGATGCAATCGTGCAATCTGTTGATGAATTTTTTTATCTGTTATAATATATGGAAACTTGAAACGTAATCTATCGCACAGGAAATGGTTAGAAACGGGTTTCTTTCAACTTCATATGAATTCCCAAGTTTAGTGGAAAAAATGATTTCCCTGCATATTGTACTTGTCTTTGCTTGTGTTTCGACTGTGTTGTGAACTTCAATGAAGCTAGTTCCTGTCACCGCACCCAAATGCGATGACTGATACATTTTGTAACCGGAAATGGTAATTAATATGCATAAATTTTATTCGAATGATTCCATAAACAGTCCGAAGTGGTTATGATTGGTATTCTGAGGGATATTGAATATTTTTGCTATGTTGTGGAAAATTGATTCGTGATAAAACATTTTCAATAGTTATTACTTAGCATGGATGAAGGGACTTTAAACGATTTATTAGAGTGTTCTGTGTGCTTAGAAAGATTAGACACTTCAAGTAAAGTATTACCCTGCCAGCACACATTTTGCAAGAAATGCCTAGAAGAAATAGTTCACAAGCACAAAGAGCTCAGGTGTCCAGAATGTCGAGTTTTAGTTCAAATCAAAGTGGAGGAGCTGCCACCAAATGTACTTCTTATGAGGATTTTGGAAGGTATGAGGAATGCAGGTAATTCCATTCCCAAAAGAATCCATCGAACAACAAGGAGTCCAAATCATATGTTAGTAACTCCTGCTCTACAAACAACCCCTATTCATCAGTCTCATGGCACACCTGACCATAGAATTAACACGAATAAGCAACAAGCATTGCACTTGGTTCCCCATCAACCCCATGCCATGGCCATGTACGATTATACTGGGTAAGTTGGAAATTAATTACAATCTGAATATCCAATTTTATTTTACTAGAAACGTGCACATCTTGAACCTTCGGTACATCAAAATTAGACACTTCACCAGATAATACTTGGACCATGACTTTCTGGAGGCAGGCAAATTGTTAACCTTTTGGAATATTTTGCGACATCAGCAGGGTATTTGACTCATTGAATGAACTTGTAATAAATCAATTACAATTTGTGCTTTATATAATAACAATTTGAATCATAATATGACTTGAGTAATGACTAGTAATTTTACCTGAATCTACGTGAAAACTATTTAAAAACTTCAATATCACGAAAAAAATTCTTACTAATTAATTAAATGATCATGTAATAAACCAATTTCCACATTATGATTCAGAAGATGAGAGAAATTCAATTCTATTTGGTCACTAAGCAAAGTTTCAGACTTCTTAAATCTATTAATTTCTAAGCACTCCCAATTAATTGAGTTTCAAACCTTTCCCGTTGAAATGTTTTGCTTCATAATCTTAGTTGAACTCATGTTTCTGTCAAAAGATGGTTTGTGGACGTGGAATTGGTCTTCACATTTGAGAAACTATTTCTATGTTCTTTCATTCTTTTGGAAAAGATTCTCCGCGTTTGGCCCATATAAAGTTTTCGGCAAAATTCACAAGTCAACTCATATACTCTACAGAATGACTCTGGTACTATTTCTGTTAGATTGGCATTCAGTAAGTCAATTCAGTTTGATGACTGTACAGTATCTGAACTCTAACTCTTGAATTGAATCCAATACAGTCTGTCAAGAACTTCAATAAAAACATGGTTTTATCTCTTTAGTGTACCTCCACAAAATATGGTGTTGAGACACTGAAAACAAAGTCGTATCATACTACTGAATACTTAATTGTCTGTAACCTCAATATTTAACAGTTTAACGCTGCGTTAATTTAGTTTTTGGTCCTTTTGAATTTATTTTAATTTTCTTTAGGGAATTGAGCTTCAAACGGGGTGACCTCATCATTTTAAGAAAGAGAATCGATAGCCACTGGTACCAAGGAGAATGTGGTGGAAAACAAGGAGTTTTTCCATTAAGCTATGTACAGGTACATTTCTGTCATACTTTTCAATAATACGTCTGTCTTTCGAAATAGTATCTGAGACAATTTATTTTGATCTGTGTTTTTTTTTGGTAGATCATAACTCCAGTCCCCAGTCATATACCCCAGTGTAAGGCATTATATGATTTTCGTATGACCAATGATGAAGAAGAAGGTTGCTTGGCTTTCAGTAAAGGGGATATCATAAACGTTATCAGAAGAGTCGATGAGAATTGGGCTGAAGGCAAGTTAGAAGGCCGCATTGGAATTTTTCCTCTCGCCTTTGTCGAGTTGAATAGTTTGGCAAGATCTTTGATGAAGCTTTCTTCAAAGTGAGTATTGAGTTTCATTTTATTTTATAATTTATGATTTACTATTTCAATAAACAATTTCAACTTTCGACCTCGGCCCACTTTACTTGGAAAGCAAAGGTCCGGTGCTTTGATGAGCCAAGGTATTCATTGTTGTTTAAGAAGACCCCCATGCAAGGCTCATTCCTGTGTTTCCTCAGAAGTGAAGTAATCTTGGCACATGAACTAGTTCCAACTCGCTGGGGCAGCTGCCTCAAAATGAAATACTCCTATTCCAGCTCTCCTATGGTGGCGGGGATTCGAACTCCTGATGACTTCACATGCTCCATCCATTATCATTCTGCTTTGCAGACATTCCAAGTTTAAATGTCCAAAACCTTCCTGTCGTCGGAGAAAGTATCGCTGTGGAACGAACGATTTGGGATGCAAACTCCTATGGAAATGCATCTGTTTTCTGATGTTATCATTCATAATAATTATCATCATAATTTTGGGTGTAATGTGGAGTTGAATGTCAAAATAGCAAAATTATTTATTTTTTCAGGTAGGTTTATATAAATAGTTCAGATAGCCAAGATTTTGGCTTATATTAGTCTTGAAAAATAAACATAGTTGGTGATAAAAATTCAATTTTGATCATTGCTCTCACTTGAAAAGCAACCAGAATGATCCTCACAAAAGGTTTAAGCTGAAATATTATCCTATGAGGCCCCACTATTGAAGGGAGTGAAACATTATTATCTTCTCATTGTTTAAATTGTTTTGGTTTATTAATAGATTGATTAACATCTGTTGCAGATTTGATTCATTGTTGATACACTGTGTGATTATAATAGATTCGTTTGTATTGTGTCAAGGTCAAGTACAGAGTGTGTTGAAAAAATTTAAGAAAATATGTCAATTTTTTTTATTTGTTATACGTTTACCATATATTATTTTTGATATAACATTCTTATTTTGATATTTCGTTCCTTTCAAAAGTTGAGCGGGAGGAGTCTTAAACTATAGCAAAAAGGTAAAACAACATTTGTTAAATAGGAAACATAAAATGTTTACTTGGAAAACTTTTTTGATGGCGTAATAATTTTTTGGATGAGTTTTCAATAATTTAGGTCCAAGATAAAGATGTCTTTGTTAAAATAATGTAGTTTTATGGGCGAGTTGAGTAGACATGATATTGTCAGTTTGTTTCAAATAAGATTTTTTGAATACATAGATACACAATTCATATGTACATATAAACAAAAATATGAAAGATATCGAGTGCCAATATAAAAATCCAAGAAATGATTTTATCGGACATAGCACCAAGAAAAGGGCAAACCATAAACACATGTTTCAGGCTTTTGGCCGTAGGGTTGACCCAAATGGACACCTGCTCGAACAGTGGGTTTCCCCACTCCGCAGCTTGCTTCATTTCTTTTATTAGCAACTCAAAAGTGTTTTCTCCGATTTTAATGAAATTAGGTTGACGAAAATATCTGTCCTCCGAACGGAATTTTTAAATGAGGTAACAAAAAGAAGTCGCTTGGGGCTAGATCTGGTGAGTAAGGCGGATGGACCAGCAGTTGAAATCGTAATTCGTAGATTATATACAAACTTTGTTAAATTTTGTTTCTTATTGTTATATTTTATCTGTTAGATATGTGAACTTAGTTTTGCACAAGTTGTGTTTCTGGGTATTTGTGTTTTTGAATTGTTTCTTTTCTTTTATTCCTTGAAGTGCTCTACATACCAGAAACTTTGTCAATAAGATTGTATTTTCTTGGACAAGTATGTCTATCTATACATATTGGTACACCAATGTTGATGGTTATAAGAACTCACCAAGTTATACAGGGGTGCGCAAAAGTCCGGAATAAAATTAATATTTTTTTAACCAGTATTTTGGGGAAAAAAAACGCCGAAACACGTCAGTTGATTTCACGTTGTACGCATTTTCTGGAAATAAAATGAATTTTTTTTTTCAACCCCTTAGCTGCAACCCTCCCCAACTTTTTTTTTAATGCAAACCTATGTCGTGTATGGGCTCATTGAAAAGCTCGTAAAAAATGGAATCTGACGATACCCTTTTATTTTTTTAACTCATGCGGTTACCACGAAATGAGATAAAACTCTTTTAAAACCAAAAAAGTTAGAAATACCTACTTAGTGCTATCTACGGGTGAATAAACGTTGCAAAAAACAAATAAGTGGTGATGATGTACATTGCTCAACAATTGCTAAGGATCACCAGTACCTACCTTCTAAAAGTTTACAAATTTTAAGAACAGACCAAGCGGGCCAGGCACCACAACAAATTTTATTGATTTATATGTAAAACTGATAACGTTAGATCTATAGATTTTTTTTTCACCAAAAACTTACACATATAATTAGTTTCATCCCAAGCAATTGTTGACCAGTGTACCTCAAAAAGAGAAAAAGGTTGTTGCATTTTTTGTACCAAAATGAATGCCCTGATGAATGAATGAATGAATGAATACATTTATTTAGGAAATCCTAATATACATACATTAATAATAATATACAATAATAATAATAAATCAGTAAACAATAATAATATGTCCTTAAACATCAATAATAATAACTAATAACTAGAGTCATACATATGACTGTAACCTAACAATGTTGAGAAATAAAATAGAAAAGGAAATAAAATTCAAAGTTAACTAACTTAGATAAGACTATACTAACAATTTAAAACATACTGATACATGATAATAAATGTTAAGGTTAAGACTACTGATGTTCTGCATCATCGAGTCTTTTCCTACAAAATTGTGTTTGTTTTAATATAGTTGTTTAGTTTAGATTTAAATATATAAATACTTCCGCTTTGTTTTATGTCTCTTGGCAGCTTATTAAAATGGTTTAAACCTTTATAAAACAATATTTTCATCGATAAGAACTATTAGTTTGCTAAACAAAAATGCTATTGTCAGAGAGGCAGCGTATCAAAATCTTGATATTGTCGGGATGTGGGGTTAGAATGCGGAGTCAAAGTGAGGTGTGTACTTTATTTAATGCAGAATATCCGGAAAATCACATTTCCCAGGCTACTGTGAGTAAGATCTTACACAAATTTGAAAAACATGGTACAGTGAAGGACTTGCCCAGAAGTGGCCGGCCACATGTTTTAGACGAAGATCAAAAATTGGACATTGCCGTATCTCTGCAGGAAGATCCACATTTGTCAACGGTTTCATTAGCCCAAAACAATCCTGCGTCTAGACGTACGATTGGGAGGTTTGTCCAAGAGCTCTTGGAAGATGACTATGACAGGCGTTTGCAATTTTGTGAGGAAATAATGAGGCGATATAACTAGAATAATGGGTTTCCACTCAACATACTCTTTTTGGACGAAGCTACTTTTTATTTACATGGAGTAGTTAACAGGCACAACTATCGATTCTGGAGTCAGGAAAACCCACACTGGATATGCGAAGCTCGTACGCAACGTCCTCAGAAAGTAAATGTATGGGCAGGCATCATCAACAACAGAATATTAGGGTCATACTGTTTTGAGGGAAACCTTACAGCTGCACGCTTCTTAGACTTTCTTCGCTTTGAATTAGTCCCTGCTTCAGCTGTTATGTTTCCCAATGAAGCAGATCCCCACTGGAACACTTTGGTTCCAACAGGACGGCGCTCCCCCACATTTTGGTATTAATGTCAGAGAATATCTCGATGATATATTTGCAGGACGCTGGATTGGACGACGTGGTACAATTGAATGGCCTCCAAGATCCCCAGACTTAACGCCATTAGATTATTTTTATTGGGGATATGTGAAAGACAAGGTTTATCAAAATAGGCCTGTTAATATTGAAGATCTAAAAAGCAGAATTAAAGTGGAATCACATAACATACCGGCTGAGGCCATTCGGAATTCCGTAGATGGGTTTTACCATTGCCTAGGAGCCTGCCAAGTAGAGGGTGGAGGCCAATTTCAGCATCTGTGAAGTTAACTCACGTGTAGATAGCACTAAGTTAGGTATTTGTAACTATTCAAAAGAGTTTCTTCTCATTCCGTTGTAACCACAAAAAAAAATAAAAGGTATGGTCAGAATCCATTTTTTACGAGCTTTTCAATGAGCCCATACACGACATAGGTTTGCATTTAAAAAAAAAATTGGGGAGGGTTGCAGCTAAGGGGTTGAAAAAAAAATTTCATTTTATTGCCAAAAAATGCGTACAACGTGAAATCAACTGACGTGTTTCAGCGTTTTTTTCCTAAAATACTGGTTAAAAAGATATTCATTTTATTCTGGACTTTTGCGCACCCCTGTATGTCGGAAAACTAAATAAACTTTTACTATTCCATTTCTCTATTTTTTCAGTGCACAACCTGGTCCTTCTCGCTTAGCCCCACCTACTCCCACCGCTGAGGATAGCGCTCCTCTCATCCCAACAGATCACACGAGGAATATAGTACCACAACAGTTGTGCCAAGTGGGGTCCCCACACGCGAGGCCCCTGGCCCAGCAAGGGCCCATCGTGACTTCCGATTCCAGTTCAACAGTCAGCTCAGGTAGCTCTTCTACCAACACTCCAAACGTTTCTTCTAGTAATAATTCTTCGAGTTCGAGTACTGCCCCCTCTTCTCCTGCCTCGCCGCCACCGAGAAATCAGCCACTGCCGCCAAAAAATACAGCAGCGTAAGTGAACGTTGATTGTCGTATGATTCGGACTCCAGTCTGGCTCGTAAGAAGTAACATTTTATTTTGCGTCTCTTAGGAGAGGTGATATTTTGAATTCCAAAATATCGACGGGTCAACGTACGCAGCATCCCCAAAATACCCGTTTGACTGATGCTGTTCACGTTTCCACTCATCAACACAGCAAAGAGAAAAGGCATAGTTTCACCAGTTTGACGACGCCCCATCACGCTGTCTCTGTTGGTCACAACAGGCACTCTGCAGAAATATTGGCTAGTGAAGGACAGGTATATATCAACTTATAATAATAATATTTATTCAGCATTTGTGATACATAGCGTATATTTTATTTTTTCATTTTTGAATTTATTTATTGAATTAGGATTCCCTAATATACAGGTTAGCTAACTTATAATATAATCAAATTAATTATCTGCGAGCGCTTTCAACAGTTGGTAGTACTGTCATCTTCTGGGCACTCCTCAAACTGAACTTGTCATCCTGTCGTCTGCCTCTTTATACGGTCAGAACGTCTCAACTGAGGTATTTCAGGTACTTTATGTAAATTTGATGCCTGTATTTGTACTGATGCAGTACTACCTATTGCAGTACTACCAGCTTTCAACAGCTGGTAGTACTGTCATCTTCTAGGCACTCCTCAAATTGAACTTGTCATCCTATCGTCTGCCTCTTTATACGGTCAGAGCGTCTCAACTCAGGTATTTCAGGTATTTTATGTAAATTTGATGCCTGTATTTGTACTGATGCAGTACTACCTATTGCAGTACTACCAGCTTTCAACAGCTGGTAGTACTGTCATCTTCTAGGCACTCCTCAAACTTAACTTGTCATCCTGTCGTCTGCCTCTTTATACGGTCAGAGCGTCTCAACTCAGGTATTTCAGGTACTTTATGTAAATTTGATGCCTGTATTTGCAGCTTTCAACAGCTGGTAGTACTGTCATCTTCTAGGCACTCCTCAAACTGAACTTGTCATCCTGTCGTCTGCTTCTTTATACGGTCAGAGCGTCTCAACTCAGGTATTTCAGGTATTTTATGTAAATTTGATGCCTGTATTTGCAGTACTACCAGCTTTCAACAGCTGGTAGTACTGTCATCTTCTAGGCACTCCTCAAACTTAACTTGTCATCCTGTCGTCTGCCTCTTTATACCGTCAGAGCGTCTCAACTCAGGTATTTCAGGTGCTTTATGTAAATTTGATGCCTGTATTTGCAGTACTACCAGCTTTCAACAGCTGGTAGTACTGTCATTTTCTAGGCACTCCTCAAACTGAACTTGTCATCCTGTCGTCTGCCTCTTTATACGGTCAGAGCGTCTCAACTCAGGTATTTCAGGTACTTTAGGTAAATTTGATGCCTGTATTTGTACTGCATCACGACTGTGATTGCTCAAGTTCGTTATGTACAAGTCAAGGTTCCTGTGCACAAAAATGACACATTTCATTATATATATTGCGGGTGCAGTCAACAAGCGTTCTCTTTTGAAAATGGATCTACAACTTTTTTGGTACCCCGGGTTGAATATCAATCTTATCAGTCGTCTGAGAGATAAAAACTCTAGAAAATTCCTTCACACATCCCCAAGCCATTATGTTGAAACTGATGTGGGAGTATGCATTCGCAAAGTAAACATTTAGTAAACCAAACATATCTAAACAATGTTTTAACTGTTTGATCGAATAATAAGCTGAATTGAGTTTACCGCACACTTTTTGTATGTGACTTCTCCAGGTGAGATTCTCATCTAAAATAGTTCCAAGAAAATCAACTTCTTTTGATATTTTTATGTCATTCAAAGTGATTAAATTACAACAGAAATCCCTCCTAACTAATGTTTTCATCAGCACTGACGTAGATTTATTTAAAATCAGTTTGTTACGTTCACACCAACTAGTGAATTCGTCAATAACTAAATTAATTTTCGTTGATAATTCATTCTCGTTTTTTCCAGAAACAGTGATTGTAGTATCGTCAGCGTACATAGTTATGTGACAATCTGATATGAATTCAGGCAAGTCATTGATAAAAGTCAAGAATAACAATGCACCCAGAACATATCCTTGTGGAACACGTAGTTTCACATCATAACATAAGAAACTTATGTGATTCCATTACATTTAACCACCAAACTACGGTTTTCCATGTATGATTCTATCCAACACAACACATTATTGGGAAAGCCCATTACTAGTAATTTTTTCAAAAGAAATTTGGAAGAAACAGTATCGAATGCTTTTGATAGATCTAAAAAAAGTGAAAAACGAGGTTATTATTATCCACTTGTGCATAAATATAGTTCAATAGTTGGAAAACCATGTTGATTATTGCAGAATAGGTCATTTTGTTCAATATACATAAAAATTCTATTACCTATTATTTTCTCAAAGAGTTTTGAAAAGGAGGAAATCAGGAGGAAATTATAGGGGGAAATATATGTTCATTGTCATAAAATTGAAATATTGGCAGGAAGTTTTCAGAAATTAAATATAATAAATGCAATATTAATTAATATCAACATACAGTTGAAAACAATTTCATATTGTAGTCTATTTCCTTGAGCAGCGGAGTAATGAATCGTTTTCAAGTTGCTGTTACATATGCATACATAGTCGAGTTCAATAAAAAGTGGAAAATGTAATATTTAATTTTTATATTCAGTTTATTGTATTACTTTGAAAATGTTCTTGTAGGACGAAACTGCAGTAACGTTAGTTACAAATACAAATGGTATGAAAACGTAGAAAGTTGTATTTCTCATTTTTCTTGAGTAATTGCCTTGAATATATGAACTATTCATGTTGTGTTTATTGACAAACCGTATTAGTTATTGCTGTCTTATTAAGACAGCATATTTGTCTCAAGAAAATTTTACATTTTATAGACACGTCCAAACCTTAACCTAAATAACTAAAGATAGATGATAGAATAATTTGTAGTCCTGGGAATATAATCGAGGTTGACAATAATTGTCATATGGGATATTGATATTGAAAAGAACAGATAATATAGGAATTAAGCTATACAATGCCTTATCTGTCGAATTTCGTAACTTGCCATTTAGAAGATTCAAAAACTTATTGAAGAAAATATTAACCAAACATCCTTTGTATGAAATTGATCAATTTTTCGAAGTTATCCAAGAAAAAAGAGACACTTTTGTGGTCACCTCCCAAACTTTGACCTGTTTAGCTAAAAATGAATTTGTTCCATACTTTACGGACACAGTGTATAATACATTAGCTATGTGTTTATAATTTGTAAAAGCTCATGGCTTTACATTTTAGTCAAGTCTTATAAGACTGGAATTTTATCTTGTTAACTTGTATTTTTTTTTGGAAATCTAATTTATCTACAAGCATTTTTTAAAAACTATATTGACAAATCTTACCCTCTCAAACCTATTTTAGAAATTGTATTGACGTGTCTAAAAACTGTGTGTTTCTTGAGACTAATAAAAATTATTATTATTGAAGAATAAAAACATATATGATCTACATACAAGATAAAATACATTTTAAGGGATTTCTAAATATGAATATATAAAATTTAAAATGTATGAATTGNCATTTTGTCGCATGCCACCTTGAAGAAGCCCTACAGCTCTATTCATCTCAGCCAATGGTAAGTGATGGCGTTCCATGTTAAAGCACAATATTTCCAGTTTAATTGCTGAGCAAGAACTGCATAGAATGTACAAACTCGACACTTTCAGATTATTCATTTTAGCCGAAAACCTACAGTTTGTAAAAAACTTGATAAAAGATTAGTTACCGTTTTTGCAGGCTTTGTTCAACCCATAGAAATCTACAGGGTGGTCGAGTGTACCAATTTAATCGAAATTAAACGACCTCATGCATTTATTTTTATGATATTTAGTATATCCCTAGACTTTTCCGATGTGTGTATATTAGTTTGTGGTATATAATTAAGGCATAAACAGTCATTATTCCTGGAGCCGGAAATAAAGTCCTACAACTAACTTCCCAATTTGAAGTTAAAGAAGATAATTTCAAACAACTTTTGAATTTTTCATCATAAATATAGCTTGGAAAAGATGCACTTGTATCTGATTTTTCTATCACTTGTAAATGTTCTATTATTGATAATTGTTTTGCCTGTTTCAGCAGTTATCTGCAGGCACTGAGAGAACTAAAAGAAGCGTCCATGCTATTGGTGTTCACGAAGTACCACTGCCAGCCACATATGTTGCCCTTTACCCGTATAAGCCTCAGAAAACAGATGAGTTGGAGTTGAAGAAAGGCGGCATTTATATGGTTACCGAGATGTGAGTAGTCTTGAATATTTCAAAATTTCATGATTTATTATAAAGTATACGTCTACTGTTGTAACCATTTTACACCTGGACCGTTTACCTGAAGGCTGTGAAAAAAAAAACGAAAATTGTGCCCAGCAGCTGTAATTGTAGTGTAAAAGGAAGTATTTTAAACAACATGACGTAATGATTAACAGAATTTTTTTATTTATTAATAAGAAACCCATTTTACAACTTCCAATTCACATTTTGTAAAACAACAGTTGAATCAAGACTGAAAAGTGGGGGTGCTAAAGTCTTTGGTACGGAATCGTACTCAATGGTTGACTTACAAAATGCATAACATTTATCGGACTAGTCAGAGAAGAAAAAAAATATACACAATATATGTTCACATAATGAGAGACATAATCGTATAAATTTAAAGAAAGATAGACCTACATAGATCATACAAAACTAAAATAAGAGAGATAGACCTACGTAGACTATATAAAGTTAAAAGTCTAAAAGTCTAAAAACTCATCAATACTATAGAATGAGTCATCAATTAAAAATAGATGTAAATTTTTCTTGAAAATATTAATGTTGTTATTATTGTCAATAAAGCTCTTTACTTTGTTAAAACATTTGATACCCATATAATTCGGTGAATTTTGGCATACTCCAAGTCTAGAATAAGGCTGGTAAAAATGTTCTCTATTTCTAGTCAAATACGAGTGAACATCACGATTTTTTTAAACTCTATTTCATTTTCCTTTACAAACATTATTAACTGAGATATATAAAGACAAGGCAGCGNAAATTGATTAAAAACATCTGATGTATCTTTAGTTTGTAAGCACATGTACAATTTATAAAAAGATATTTGTAAAAATTGGCTTGGCCGTTGAAATAAATAAATAAAATAAAAATGTTGCAGTTTTATGTTTTGGTATTTTTAATATAGAACTTCTTGATGGGTAGTTATGACAACTTCCTAACAAGTTGAATTCAGAAATATTGCTTTTTAAAAAAGTTACACATTTTAAAATGAAAATAGAATGGAGGGGCAGAATATAATGTTGTTTGAAGAGAGTCATACATGACTCTCTGTATTCCAAATTAAATAATAGTCTAATTAATCTTTCTTGAAAAGTGAAAACTCTTTTACATTCAGTAGCCCGTCCCCATGTTGCAAAATTATTTGATATATAGCTATATGCAAGAATTGCATAGTATGCTTTATTGAGTTGTTCACAAACAAAATATATTATTATTTTCCAGATGTCAAGACGGCTGGTATAAAGGTACGTCGAACCGTACCCAGAAATGCGGCGTTTTCCCCGGCAACTACGTCACCCTTGCTCGTGGCTCCTCCAACTCATGCCACGTGACCACCAAAGAGCCGGGCGCCGTCGCCGAATCCAAACTACCCGTAAGTTTCACGAGGAGCGGCAAGAGCGTGTCGTCGTCTCCCCGTTCTGCTTCCTCTAACCCTCCCGAGCTACCTCCTCGTGCTACCAGTCCTAATGCTATCTCCTCCAGCTGGCACGGTCACCAGGACGCGTCCGCTGTCCCGCTTGGTAGGAGTAGCAGCGCTATCATGCCTGGGCAGGCCGCTATTGCTAAGGCTGTCGATAAGGTGGGTGTGTTTTTTGTGGCTGTCGTGCTACTCGGGATGATTTTTTTCTGGTGGTTGGTTTATGCTGGTGTGTGAATATTTTTTGTGCAATTGACGTACTGGGCTGTCAAATAAAGTTTAAAAGTTGAAATTAGTTGTTGGGTACTGGAAATGCTAGTACATGTCAAAAAATTATACATGCGAGATCTGTTGAAAACATGAGACGAATTTTTATTTTTCTCAAAAAAATATTCATTTACTCATCAATTTCGATTTTTCCCCCTTCAAAGTAGCCCCCCACAGATATAATACACTTGTGCCAGTGTTTTTTCCAATCCTCAAAGCAGTTCTGTTATGCACTTTTTGTATGTCCTTGAGTCTTAGTGATTCGGTTTTTATCTCCTAAACTTTGCAAAACACTGTCCTTTCATGGGTCTCTTCAATCTTGGGGGCTGGAAACAGTCGCAAGGGGCCAAATCTGGTGAATATGGTGGCTAAAGCATAATAGGAAATATGCAGACAATTTTTTTATTCAATATTCACTTCATTTTGATATAGAAAAAAAATAAACATGGCTGTAAGAGTAGCAATTATATTTTTTCATAAAATTATTTCACAAAAATATTGGTTTAATTTGACAAGTTCAAACGCTCCTATTTCTCGCGCGCTTGAGGCGTGACGTCATAGGGCACGTCCTGTCAGTTTATTGTTTACATTGAGAGTTAGTTTGATAGTTACCAGGGTGTTTTAGTTTAAATATCGCGTAATAATCATGGAAGAAGAAAAAAGCCCTTTTATAGATATTGCATGGTACCAATGTGTCCGAACACTATAAAAAGTACACCAGATAAAGTTTCATAACCTTAAAGTTCATAACCTCATTTACGTATGTCATACAATGAATGTAAACAACATTTGAGGTTATATGGAGGGAAATAATTTTATAAGTGCATGTATGCATAAAAACAGATTTACTAGATTAAAAATACCATGTTTTAAAATAATTACCTTGCAGCTTTTACTCCCTTAACCTCAGCAAAATATGTGGTCATCATGAATGCATCTATTTTTGGAAGATTATTCGATTGTGCTTCCACAAAACTGTTGTCCGTCATTGCTGTTGATGACGCTTAGTATTTCTTGACATTAAAATATTAGAAAACTAAGCTACAATAGCAATACAACCAATTTTTCTCTCCAACACAACCTGAATGTATGAAAATAAATCACAGGTGACTGACAGGACATGCCGTATGACGTCACGTTTCATTTCGACCAATGGTGGGGCATTTTGCAAATTTGAATTTCGCTCGTAAATTTTTCACTTTTTGATTTATGTTTTATTGAGTGTAATACTAGGACCTTAAAAGCTCAGGAAAAGAAAATCAGGCCATTTTATTTTTTATGCATATTCCCTATTGCAGTGTTGTTTTTGATAAAAAAAGTTACAAACAAGCAAGAACGAGTGGACAGATGCATTATAGTGATGCAAAAGCCATGAATTGTTTTTTTACAATACCGGACCATTTCTTTGTTTTGCAATACTCCTTACTGACCATACGACCACATGGCAAGAATTCCTGACGCACTACGCCACGGTAATCAAAGAAAACAGTGAGCAAAACCTCGACATTTGATCGAATGTAAAACACTTCTAACTTTTATGTCTCTCACTAACAAAATAAACATGCCTAACAGCTGAAAATGTGAACATATGTTCAAGACGAATGTAATTTTTAATTTAATTTATGTATATACAAGGGCAAGCCCAATTCACATATAAGTAGTACTGTGTTATGTAGTACTTGATGCAATACAGTGGATTAAAAGTGAGTTGGCGATGCATTGAATTTATTAGAGCCTCTGGAGACACCCTACACTTTGTTTTATAAGAGAGAGGACATTGTTAGATCAAGATCTTCAGATGATGTAGTGCTGCAGGTTTTTCCGGGTTTTCCTGCAGCTGAAAAAGCAAATGCGCCACTGGAATCAATGAAGTCGCCCCGGAGCGTCAATTAATTTTTATTGTTGTTTTTATTTTATTTTTATCGTTGTTTTAATAAAATGTTTTAATAAAATAGATAGAGCTGTTATATGAAATATATGAATTAAAATCGCTATCCTAATATACATGCACTTATTTTTTAGCAGATCTAGTAGATTATTAAATATACTTCTAGAGTCTTAAAAATTAGTGTAATAATAATAATAATAATATACTTTATTGTCATTAAGAATAAATCTTGTAGACAAAGCTTGTGAAAAATAAATATAAATGCTAGTATAAAAATATAAAAACACCTACAGAAAAGTAAAGTTAGAACATACACTATAGTTCAACATCGAAATTTTGTCTCAACATGGTTATGTACAGATTTGTTTAAAAATATTATCAACACTTATATAATAGACTTCTAAACATATATATACTTATACAGGGCTTTTCATGATGAGCGTTAATTAGCCGTTTCTGACAAAGTATTTAACGGATCAACCTGAAAATTTCACAGTATGCATAAATCAATACGACCTACACGCCTAAAATATTTCAGACGAAGCGGCGTTGTCGCTTCTACTATAAAGGAGCGGCTTCATTGATTTTTCAAATGGAACACCCCGTATATAATATCATATTATGATTCATTATCACTTTGTCAACAAATTCACATACTATTTCCCTATATCTATCTTGAACTCTCTTGCACTAAAACGATCAAATTTGAAATGCCTCATACAGGGTCTTCAAAAAATGCAGATACTTTGATCTCATGAAAAAATGAGTACAACTCAATTTTTTCAAATGGAACACCCTATATATTTCAACATTTTTGAGCTCTACATCCAATTTTAGATTAACTTTGTTCAGATAATACTATTTCTATTTTGAACCGTTTTCGAGGTTCAATCTTACACATATACCTGATAGCCCGTTTCTGCAGTACTAATACAGATAGAAGTGCTGATGATGAATTGCATACTCCCCAAAACGGTATTCCATAACGTAGGTGGGATTCAACGAGGGCGTAATACACCGTTCTGGCATGTTTGATTCCCAAATTTACTGAAGTTACTCTCACTGCATAACATCCAGAACAAATTTTACTTTTAAGTTGTTCAATATGCTCAATAAATTTGAGCTTGTTGTCGGTGTGAATACCTAGAAATTTAGATTGAGTCTCGTTCTTGATCACTGAGTTATCACAGGTCATCAAGTGCACATCTAAATGATAAAATGTTCGTTTTAGTGATATTGAAGGATAGCAAATTAGCATCTCACTATTCCTTGATTTTTTTCATATCAGTAGATATTGCCTTTTGTAAATCATTTGAGTTTCTGTTATTCCACAATATCGTCGTGTCATTAGAAAGAAATTTCCAGAAATGCTCAAATTTGCAATGTCTTTGACATATAATAAGAATAAGATGGGTCCCAAAAGTGATCCTTGTGGAACACCACACAAAATTTCCTTTTTTTTTTTATCAACATCACATATATGAAAAAAACCCAGACAAGGAAATGAGATGTGAACAATTTCAATATAAATATCACTGTCTATGTAGATTGTAAATTCAAAATATTAGTTGGTGTTGAAGTCAAATATAAGAATTCTTTGATACTATAAAAAGCGTTTTCCAGGCAGATATTCTTCATATAATTTGTAAACAAGGCTGTATGTATTTAAGTTTCTTATATCTTTTGGTAGTTTATTAAATAAATAAAGATATAAATATGGAACACCTACTGACGAGAGAATGATAAATAAACTGGAACAAAAGGAACAGAAAATGAAACAATTTTTTTAATAAGTTAAATTTTCACAGTATCATGTGGGAAAATTCCAAAATACTCGGCGATTTTCTCTTATCTTTGTCATATTTAAGTAGGAATATATAAATTTGGCTCGAATTCTTAAGAATTTTTCTTGTTCATACAGTGTTCTTCATTATTGATGTGGGCCGTTTCTAAAAATGTTCTTTTAGTTAGATTGGTTTCTCTATCTAAAATGTTTTCCTTTAGACGTGGATATCTGCATGTCGATAATTTTTTATCGAAGTTAATCAGTGAATCAATGCAAAAAGAAATTATTCAAAAAAAAACGTATTCTTGTATTAGCCAAAGGACCGCAAGGAGAAAGGCACCGTTAGTCTCATGAGGCGGTTAACAAGCATGAAGAGATCCAAATCGCCACCTCCTACTACGTACTCAATGGATAACCCAGTATTTGAAGATGGGGGCGTTGTTGGTAACAAGCCAACTCAAGCTATCCACCCGGTACATGTCAGGTAGGCATCGCAAGGATTGCTTTTATATTGCATGCTTTTTTTTTGGAAGAGTGTACAGGGTGTTGCAGTAGGTCAATATTCACTGATGCAGTCATTAGCCTTTTGTTTGTTAGAATTCAGTTTTCCTACTCTGATTCAGGAGTGATTAATTTATCAGTCAGCATAAAACTTGGGTGGTGCTCAAAATTCGATGGAGTCGACGAAGGCCGTTTTCGCCTTTCGCCTGGTCCTGATTGGCGTAGGTTAGAATGCCTAGAATGTTCAAACTACAAAAAAAAATAGTTTTTCCAGGCGACTACTCATTGAAAATTCAAATCTTTATTTTGTATTGATGTGATTTGAAATATTTTCATTGATAAATGAAATATCTGAAACGGTTCGTTAAATCGCAGTCTATAAACGATTATGTAATACATTTTGCTTTGCCCAAAGTACATTTTTCCAACTATTTATTGATAGGTTTGTGCATGTCAAACTTTCTATGTGAATGTTTACGTCTAGGTCTGGATCTTGTCCGAGTCAACTGCTTCAGATCCAACCGAATGATCATCACCGTATGTTTGGATCTACCTCGCAACGTCATAAGCATAAAGAACGTCCCTCAATACTTACTCATAATCCCAGGTGTGTTTTTAACGAAAATGTCTGCATGCTTATGTTCGTTTGTCGGTTTACTAAAATTACTTATGTAGTTTAACCTTAGATCTAGCTTGGAATAAGGAAGATTTACTGTCCTAGTATGGGTATTTTATTGCGAATAACCGTTAGAAAGAACTATTAGGGATATTTCTGAAGTTTTGATAATTTAGCCCCAGTTCAACTTTGGGAAAAACCAAGGTTTTCTTAAAAAAAAAAAAAAAAAAAAAAACAAGTTTTTTTGTTTAAACTAGGTTTATTTGGTTTAAACCACGCAAAGTATTGCAAGTCTAAATACTTTGAAAATTAATTATAGATTATAGATAGAACTGTATTTAAATAGGATATCGTAATAATATACAAATCAACTAGAATGGTAGAAATAAAAAAAAAGGTATGTGTTACATATAGAAATGACTTAATATGACAAACATAAGTTCAATAAAATATTTTTAAATACATTACTACAAAAACAGCAACATTATACATTCGAAAAATTTCAATGCAACATGTAGAAATATAAATTACATAATTATTTGAAATATATAAGGAACATTAGATGAATGGAATTATACAAATTACAGCTACAGGTAACAAAGACATAATACATATCATATTTGTACATTTAAAACAAATTTCTTCAGTTCATTTTTGAACATGTTCAGAGATGGGCTATTTTTAATTGCATTAGGTAATTTGTTGAACCGATCAAAACCCTTGAAAAACAACGAGTTCATAGTATTTTTGTTTTTGTTCTGTTAATATATAAGTTATTATTATTTCGAGTGAAGTGGTGGTGAATATCGTGATGAAAGACAATATACTGATTAAAATAAGATGGTCCTAAATTGTTCAATATATTAATATTAATTAATATATCAATATTAATGAATCATTTTATGAAATAAACTGAAACTTTATGATTATTGGCAAAATGTCAATTTCAGGATACTTTTCTTTTGCGAAGTCCTGTGCTTTTGATGTCTCTTCCTGTGTTGAATCTAAATAATGAGATTTCTCCCTTTGGGTCAACCATATATGATGAAAAAATGTGCTTTTGTCATTGCCATTTCATACCGAGAGAAAAATTTAAATATTACTAGTGTAAGATTACACTAGTAATATTTAAATATCAAATTTTTATCTGTAGTTTTCAATATTAGAATAATATCAACAACATAGAGAATATTACTGGAGTTTTTTCCCAACACCAAATCTTTTTTTTTACACCTCGATACGTGTTTTGATCACCAAGTAATCATCTTCAAAGAGGAAGATTTAATCTTCCTCTTTGAAGATGTAATCATCTTCCTCTTTGAAGATGTAATCATCTTCAAAGAGGAAGATTTAATCTTCCTCTTTGAAGATGATCACTTGGTGCTCGATCTTCCCTTGAGAAAACGCGCCATCTATGGGATCGACATAGAACTCAATCCTCGAATATCAAAGGTAGAAGTAGGTCGACCACTTCGAGGCTAAAATCTTCAGAACGAAATATTGCAAATCAATATGTGAAATATCGACCAGAATAGATATTTATTGAGATATGGAGTTGAAAAAACACTTGACATTAAAACAGACAAAACTTTTCATAGAGATTATATAAATAGAGATTATATTGATAAATCTATAATTTAAATCTTAATGACAATTACAAAATAAAAAAAAAACATCAATTATTGGAACTTTGGAAATATCCCTTTTTCTGTTCAACGCTTGCAGATTTTTTATTAATCTTACAAATTCAAAGAGCTAGTAGTAAATATATACAACAAGAAATTTATTAATTCTAGAAATCAGACCGCTAAATTTTGATCTGACATAAATCCTGTCAGTGGTTCTCTACTTGGTCATCAAGCAAGTCTTATAAGTATAACTCTGAGCTCGATAGAAAACTCGAACCATTTAACTTTGTAACAATCTTCGACGATTAAAATAGATTTTTCTTTCAACTCGTACTTGGTATCCTTGGTAACGGAAGACAGGCGAGCCGGCAATGGAACATGAATGCTATGCTTGAAAAACTGGACAGCTTTAATAAGCAGACTAATAAATATTAACATATAATTAATTGTGCGATTATATTCACTAACATGAACGTATAGGGGATAAGGCTTACAATAGTTCATCTGGGAACGTCAATGTCAAAGGTTGTGCTAAACCCAATTTCAGCAAAAATTCAAGTTTCTCTATTCACACCCAGTATGAGTTAAATTTATAACGCATGATATTCTTCTGTTTAATCAAGTTGTGGTCCTAGGTTAAGAAACTATTTTTAATCTTGGAAAGTATAAAGTTTATCTATCTCGACAAGGTGTATTTCCCCCAACATCCTTATATTCTGCCGAAGTTGATTCATATGTCTCTTCTTGATGAAGGTAAAAACCATATCCACAATATTTTGTTGTTGAACATTATATTGGTAAATATTCCAATAAGTTTAAAAAAATTGTTAATTTTAATTACTCCTGTGTATATATTACAATTCGGGATGAAACGGATATCCGGTATCCGGCTGTCTAAATACTATTGTAAATCATGCCCTAAAGAAACTAACGCCGGCCGCCACTGGTAGCCATAAACCAATTGTGACGTAGCTAAGAGCGCGCGAATGTTCGATATTCGCTGACGTTCTAGATGTGGTAAGAATAATGCCACCGGCTTCCATGGAACTCCGATGAATTTTCTACGGCCTTCGATTGCCAAATATAAACACGATCCACTCGCCTAAGTGACAGTGCGGTACGCGGAGCGATCTAATAAAGCGATAGACATTTGAATAATAGTTGAATTCAAAGTGTTTTGTTGTACTACAAGTGAAATAAAGTTGAGTTTGATTATTGTTTAGTGTAGTCAATTATTGGTAAACTCACGGGGAAAACGTAACCTTTACTATTCAGCCGAATACCGGATAACTGGCGCTTATCCGGTGGAATACCAGAATAAAAAAAACATTTTTAGGTAATCACACAATAATTGTACCACCCAGAAAATGAATTAGTACTCATACTGCATTTAGGGCAAGTTTGGAACTTTTGGTGTAGTAATGAATATTATTGGAGTTCTATAACAACACAAAACCGTTATTTTTAACACTTCGACACGTGTTTCGATCACCAAGTGACCATCTTCAAGAGGAAGATTAATCTTCCTCCCCGGTAATATTCATTATGGTGAATGAATTCTAATTTCTCTGCATTGAGAGGTAAATTATCGCTAACAGAATTTGTCACTTTACACATGGTATGGATCGGAGAATTCTCCAGAACATTTGTGCGAGATGTTTTTATATAGAAAGTACTCGGGTGTCAGGAACAGATTATAGGAATGCAAATATTAAAATTTTCCAGTAATGTTGGGCAGTCAACTATGCTTTTGATAATTTTATAGGTTAGTACAACACTATAATATTCACGCCTTTTTTCGAGACTGCAAAAGTTATGCTTTTGTAGCAATTCAGAGTGGGTTGTTCCTATTGGAGGATAAATGCCATCGGTTTTTAGGCTTAGCACTTTTAAAAATCGTCGTTGAATTGCTTCTATTCTATCAATGTGATATTGATAAAAGGGGCTCCACACAACTGACGCGTATTCTAACTGTGATCTTATGAAAGCATAGAATAAAGTTCTTAAGGTCGAAGTTTCTTTGAAATCACTACTGTTACGTGCAATTAATCCGTACAAACGACAGGAGGAGGTTACAACATTATCGATATGCCTATTAAATGATAGTGCAGTGTCAAATGTGACACTCACGCTTGTATTTGCGCCAGATTCTGCTTTTAGCCTGCAAATCTCTAATAATGCTTCTATTATACCAAGGAGGATATTTATTTTTGGATTCAACTGTATACTTGGGACAGCAGCGATCAAAAACAGTATAAAGTTTTCCATAGAAATATGTGCATGCATCTTCTGAGTCATCAAGAATTTCCAAGAAGGTCCAGTCAATATGAGATATTTGATTATACAGTTGTGGATAGTTGGCTCTTTTGAAATTATAATTATTCTGGAAACAGGAATGCAGTTTATTTTTGTAGTTAGCCTTCGTCTCAAGTACACAAGTAATATCCAAGGCAGGATGATGCTGATCTTCGACTACGAAAGGATCCATTGATTTCTCCACATGACACTCTCCATTAAAAAATACCAGGTCAAGAAGTCTATTGAGTTTAATATATACAAAGTTATTTTGACATAGGTCAAGGATTTGTAAAAAGTTATTGAGAATAGTAATTTCCCTATTAGTTGTACCATGTACAAGTTCATGTCAAATGTTAGTGACGTCACGACAATCGTTTTTACTCGGTTTTAAAAAATCTCCTGGCAAAAAAGTTGTGAAAAAAGTGAAACGAGGTACTGTTATACAGGTACAGTTTACACCTTTGCAGTTATCCATGTACGTGTAAAGGTCCATCAAAATTGTCAAGGATTGTGTTTTGATAAGTTAAATACGCATGTTGTCCTGAGTTTGCAGATACTGTACCTTTTATTTATTATATAATGTGCTAAATTTGACAATGGAAGTTGAAATACATCGTTGGACTCATCTGTCCTTAAAGGACACGCCTAAGTGAGGGGGAAGACATCTCCCCTTAAGAAAGCGCCATCTATGGGATCGACACAGAACTCAATCCTCGTATATCAAAGATAAATGTGGCTCCCAAGGCGGTCACTTGCCTTGCAGTGAAACTAACCGCTTTGGGAAGCCCCATTTATGACATTCGAGGATTGAGTTCTTTAACGATCCCATAGATGGCGTCGCCTATGTTATTTGTGAAAATGGATGGTTCAAAAATTAAAACTCTTAGTTTATAACTTGCCTATGTTCAGAAATGTTAACACAAAGTATTTTAGATGGTCGTACTATATCGTACAAAGTATTTATTGTCTCGCAATAGTTCTAGAACAACAGAAAACCCGGCCGGCAGCTCCGGTTCCAGCCCTGACATTCATCGTCACCGAAAATCCAACTCTTTGGACGCTGGAAACAAGACAAAAACTGGCGTCCAAACTGTCCGAGAAAGGTTTCGTTGCATCGCCCCTTACCCCCCAAACAGCGAATACGAGTTGGAGTTGCAGGTGAACGACATCATATATGTGCACAAGAAGCGAGAAGACGGGTGGTATAAGGGCACACAGCAGAGAACAGGCAAGACGGGACTGTTTCCCGCTAGTTTTGTTGAAAGTTACTAATTTACTTTACAAAAATCCTTAGGCGTATGTACTGTGAAGAAAGCTAACAGTGGAGCAATATTTTTTCGGTTTTAAAGTTTATTCAGCGTTAATGTTTGTTTTTTTTTGAGTATGAAGTACAATGTTTCCAAATTATGGTATGAAAATTACTTGACCATGAAATGAAACTCACGTTTTTTATAAAGAGCCCAAATTGAATTTTTTTTTGACAATTTAAATATGAAGCTCGTGAAAATTGTAGATGCAACTGTTGATTTGTTAATGTAATGAAATTATTGGTCATTTTGAAGAAAAACCCCAAAATATCTTCGAAAATATGTAACTTACAACTTGAATGAATCCACCTTAAGAGTAATTAAATTAAAAGGTCCACAATTGGCATCAAGGACTGAAGTCACTAATCTGATGATGGATACTCTAATTATCGTGTTTTGAACATTTTGGAAAACTGCCTTCTCAAGTTTCTTGAATCAAAAAAAGTTGCTATGTACAAGTTCCGTAAAAAATAAGTTACATTTGAGCTAGTGGCATATATCACTTTCATAGTGCCATTTTTGTTTTGTGCAAATATATCATCAATGAAATTTCCTTCAACTTCAACATATGAAGAAAATATGAATTTCTTTGGTGGTGATTCATAATTATCTAACATATAAAACTAAAAAGGATGATATAGCTTCAGAAGCCAAATAGATAGGAAGGAAATAACTGTTCAGTTTGACTCAATTTATATTCAAAGAATATGAACTTTATGGGTAAGAAACAGAGCAAATTGTCTTAGAATTGATAACTATATTATATGTAAAATTGTGTTATGCTACGTTTTTTATATATGCTTATTTATTAATTTAGCTGTTTATGTATATTGCAGATAATCGCAATTTTCCCGTGTCTATATACAGGATGTTCCGATTTAGGCTCTCTACTTTTCAACATATTCATGAATGTCGTAAAATCATGTATTTATGTCTTGCGCTAAATTTTTCCTATTTGCTGCGGACCTTCATTTACTCACTAAAATTACTATGGTGATGCCTTAAACCTCCAAAATGATTTAAACAGCATTGCCGCTTTAATGGTATGGTTATGAAAATCGATAAATAGTATGAAATGTTATATTAACAAAACATCAACAACTCGGTTGTTTCCAACATCAAAGACATCAATTTGCTTATTTCCCCCATCATCAACAAGGCTCTAATAGTTCTCAGATTCTTGAAAAAAAGTAACTGCTGATTTTGTAAATACAGACTCGTCAAAAGTATTAAAGTGGGCCTTGGTAAGACCACACATTGGTGTATAGGCTTTCATAGCCGGGGTGTAACAAATTTTCCTATGTTTCCAGATTTATTAGTAGGGGTTTGCAGGATTTTTTACCTGACATTTCATCTGCTACTGCGGCAACCATTATCAAAGGTTTGCTTATCGCAGCAAAGTGAATCAAAGTGATTTACTTTGCTGCGATGCGCAAATAAGAAATTATCCTGGTGCATTTGTACTTATATATTTTACGTTTGTTTGAAGGTGATTGACAATGTTTCATGATGAATTTCATTAGTTTGGACTTCCATTGTCTACTATATAAAATGATTTGAAATCCCTGAAACAACTAAAAAAGAAGAATTGAAAATTAAAGAAGAAGAATAAAAATGAATAGCTGTTCATTTTAATTCTTCATTTTTAGTTCTTCTTCTTCTTTTTTTTATGGTCTTTGCCTCCCTTCGGCGCAGTAGACCAGAGTACTTCTTTTTTAGTTTTTTCAGGGATTTCAAATCATTTCATATAATATCAGACAATGGAAGTCCGAACTAATGAAGTTCGTTATACTTATACTTTATAAGTGAAAACTCACCAGGGCCATTTTCAATTTGCGCATCACATCAGGGTAATATTTCTCTCTTGTGACTGAATCATAATAAAGATTATAAATGTTGACAGTGTTTATATCTCATTTCGTAACAATGTGCAATGATAGAATTTTATTTGCTCAGAAAGTTTCCGAAATAATTTTCACTTTGAGGAAAAAAAAAACAGTGGTGAATCACTGCTAAAATGAGTCAATCCAAAATGTTCCGTTTGATGTTTAGAAGATGAATGTTTCAAAAGAATATCTATGATAATATGGAAGTTGACAAAAATATCCTAAAATATTAGGCTGGTATTAAGGAACACCCTGTATGAAAGACTGGAAATTGATTTATTTATTACAACAAATGTAGTTTGTGCAATTGTTTGAATATTATTATAGATTAATTTTATTGGAACAATGCTTTTCAATGATTATTTTTTTATTTTGGTCTATTGTACAATAGTTGTATATATCATCGTATAGCTAATTTTCTTGATATTTTGTACAAGCTAATCAATATTACTAGGTGAATGTATGGATCTAATACGATACTACTGTGTTCATTGTATAATATTTAATTCTTATTTATTTTATTTAAATTTGTTGAATGATTTTCAAATTTTGAAGCCTTCATCATTCATTTTTTCAACAGAAATCCTGATAAGTTGTAAGTATATTTTGTCACTTTATTATCAGAAACTCAGGTTCTGAAAGTTTTGGGAAGAATTATCAGAGGTGTAAAAATACGCAATTCAAGATTTTCTGAAATTAACCAGTGAAATTTTGGTATCATGAGTTTTGACTTATTTTGTTCGAACACATTTTTGATGGAATTTTAAATGTGTTGAATATCACACAGCAAGCTTCGTTATTATTGGGACTATCCCTAACCGAAAGCGATATTCATACGTTTGAAAAAATAGAATATGTTTCTTATTCAGTTATTTTTACAATAATTGAAACGTAGGTTTCCATTACTTCTCGGTTAGTGTACATTTAAAGAATAAGGAAGTTTGTAGACTCATTTTTTTATATACTATTGTAATTATAATAACTCAAAGTGTATTCCTTAGATCAGAAATATAAATATCAAGTCATTTACAAGTTTTTTTAATAATACAATACAGAAAAATCATAATTGTATATGAATACTTTCATTTTGAAAAGTGGCACAAATTTGTATAGCTACTTGCTTTCCAGGAGTTCTAAGAATCGTCTGTTTTGAAACTAACAATTTTGTCACTTTGAATGTCTTCTCTATTTGAAGGATATATAAGTAAGTATATTTCTTGGGAGCAAACACTACATGGGGGAAACTCTGTGCATTTTGTGGTGTCGAAATCAAAGATTTGAATAACTTATTGGCATAGTTTTTTGAATGAAGAGAAATGAAACTTTCTAGGTTTTTTACCACTTTTATTTGTTGTAACTAATCTTACACAAAATAAACTCTGCCGACTTGAAAAAATTTAAAGATTGGTGTGATTCAAACATTTTATTTTTTAACTTAACTAAAACAAATTTATTATCATTTAGATGCTCAATCAACGAACTTTTTTTTGAAGACAGATCACTGGAATCTAAAAATAACACTAAACTTCAAGAGTCTTCATTGACCAGAATTTAAAATTTGTGGATCATGTTAAACAACTCACTAGAAAAGTCTCCTCTAGCTGTTATGCGGTTAGAGTGATTTATAAAGATTTGGGGTTCAGCCCAGCACATTCATAGATTCTCACTTATGCTACGGAATACCGTTTTGGTGCTATTGACCATTGGCCGCTATTCACGTGATAGCATCTTGGTGGAATTTGACCACACTATAATAGGCCCTTACGACAAGGAATTCTTTTACTTTTCTTCTGAAATTTCGTCCAGTTGCTAGTTGTGTGAAAGCAAATAATGTATGGTTGAGGTGTTATTAAGTCAATGTATATCAAAGGAGTAACTTTCAGACACAAACTGGAATGAACACTGAACAATACAAATAAAATCCTATTCAGTTTGTACTCAAACATTCCTTATGGAATTGAATCGGATATCACTCACAGGATTGGTACACAATTAGTATTTGGAAGAAGTCACATGGAACACTGTCATCCTCAATTGCGGACACCCGATGTTACAGTCGCACTCAATTCATCTATTAAATTACAACTCATGTCATAACTCATGTGAGTTGAATCTACTCATGTTATGATGACAGTAGGTAATGACATTCACTTATATATTTGATTTAAATCCAGCCATAGAAATCTTTTTTAAATTTTGTATCCATAAGACATTGTTTCCAAAATAAAAAATCGTACCAAAGTCCAGTATTTTATTTTACTAATAAAGGACTGAGCAAATTGAACAACTGCTCAACTCTGGTCTGGTCAATGTTCTGTAACTGTTTTAAAAACGTTTTATTGCTATAAAAGTAAGCCTAGAAGTTGAAGGGTGGATTCGGTACCAAGAAGTTTCTGAAAGAGATCAAGCCAAAGGCTGCCTATGAAGTTCTATGCACAAAATAGATTTCATCCCACCTTCTCGCCAGAGTTGTATGTGTATAACTACTTTTTGCTTCAACATTTTTTATATTCATCGTTGGATTCAATTACGTGCTTCTTATCATGTGAAAGCTGCCACATTTCAAATTTCCCGCCTTTTTTTACTCCATTGACATCCACCTGAGCGTTCTATCCACAGAACTATAACATAGAGTATAATTCTGTGGTTCTACCATACATTGATTGTGCTATTGCTGAATAGATGACACAATAGAAACAATTGACATTAATTTATATTATAATCCATGTGAGTTGAATTTTTTGTAATGTTTATTGACCGTTATTGTTATATTGATTTGACATACGTCAAAAGAATGAGAGCTATTGTGAATAATTTTGACGCACATAAAAAGGATCAGAGCTATCACAAGTTGAGGCGAAAGCTTTAAAGTGAATTTCAGGTTTTGAAAACGGAAAAAGATTGTTTTTCGAAATGTCGACCACTTTTCGGGGTGAGCTTTTTTTTAAGTCAAAAGCACTACAGGAAAATCCTTAAGGCGCTCTAAAAGGTTAAATACCCAAAAAACAGTAAGAAGTATTGAGTCTTGCAAAACATTATCGAACATGTATTCTAAAAATTGAATTTCTTCATACTATTACTGTTTGTTACCACCAAACTTTCAGTACATTATTCAATAACAATAAATGACAAGCGACACATGTAGAGGCACCTTTATAAAGCATTTCAAAGAAATACTGTTCCATGCCAAGCACTCTTGAAAATTTGTTGTATGCGTTTTGTGAATAGACTTTCACTATACAGAAATGATATTACTACGCATGCGTTGAGTCAACGTGAACCCACCCATCACGGCAACAAGAAAACAAACTTTAGTTGGTGAGAAGTACTGTACAGAGAAGGACTTTACGATGACTTCAGAACTGAAAATTGGTGATTTGGTGTTGTAAGTACTCAAAAAAATATATTTCTTAGAATTTAAATTCTTCAAACTATTTATGCGATTTGTTTTGATTTTCAGGGCTAAAATGAAAGGATTTACGCCTTGGCCAGCGCAAGTAAGTATTCTGCCGCCGCTAGTTTTAACCCAACCGTTAACTTGCGCGCGTCACTTGTAGCTCGGATAAACTTAACCTGAATGTTTATTTTCATTTCAGATTGTTCAACCCGGTTCTGGAACAAATACCCCGAATAGTAAAAAATCTCTTAAAAAAGGACACCACTGGGTATACTTTTTCGGCAGCCATAATTAGTAAGTGTTTCGAATTGTTCCATTACTTGTTTACTTTCAATTTATATCTTCAGTGCATCAATTGAGGAAAATAACATCAAACCTTATGCAGAGTACAAGGATAAGTTCATATCAATGTGTAACACTCCAGTTTTCAAAAAGGCAGTTTCTGAGATCGAGGATTTCATCAGCAACTTAGAAGTGAGTATGGTCAGTAATTAAAAATTACTGATGAATTGTGGCAAGTAAGGATAATTATGCTGATACTTAACTAGCGCATTAACATATAATGTAAAGATAGCTCAGATGAGACTAATAAAGAAACATCTTTTTGAAAAATTTTATGTAAATAAAATTAAAATGGGTATTGAAGGAAAGCGTGTTATCTAGCATGAAACCCATTTATTGAAAATATATATTGGTCCATATTTTATGTGGTGTAGATAATAGCATTGGTTTAGTTTTATTTATATTCAGTTTAAGTTTATTGTCATTTAGATAGGAATGAATTGTTGCTAGTGAGTTGCTCATTTTGTTGATAGCGCTATCCAAATTACTACTTGAAATATTTAACATTGTATCATCAGCAAACACCTTACTAAAGTCACGGAATGGTAAAGATGCATGTCGTTCACATAAATAAGAACAATAATGGTCCCCTAAGACACTACCTTGTGGAACGCCAAATGAATTTTCAACAGGTTGAGAAAAACTTTGGTTGAAGTACAATTCCTCGAATACCAGCAGCTTCTAGTTTTTTCATCAGATCGATTGTTTGAAAAGCTATGGCCAAAATGAGTTTATAGTTAGAATTTTCAGACTTGCAAACACATGTGAAGTTTGTCTGCTTCAGCGATTTTGAGGGATACAAAAGTCAGATTTATGGGGCGAAATTCACTGAGGCTACGTACTTTTGTGGAGGGCTTCTTAGGTATGGATTTGACAACTGATGTCTTCCGCTGCTGGGAAGACAGCCTATTTCGAATGATGAATTGATTATATGTGTGAGGGGCATAAGGCAATGCTTAATTGACAGTTGGAGCATTTTACCAGGGACTTTGTCAAGTCATTTAGTATGGGCTTCTGTTTGAGAATTAGTTGTTTTACCAAATCTGGACCAAACTCCATAGGTGCTCAAGAAAAAGAGTTTTGGTGGAAGCTTTCAGTGTAGTTGTATAATCTCACTTGTGCTTTAGTTATGAGTGAAATCCCGTGAGAAAATATATTCCTGCATGATTTTTCTAACGATAAACTGTGCATTATTAAGTATGCATAAAACTCCAACTAGGCACCTGCCCCGGTGCTACAGATTTAGGGATTTTTGGCGGTCATATCGGTTTGTAGATATCCAAAATCCTAGATTAATACTTGATGATTGAACATATTTTTTCTAAATAAAAACATCTTGAAGATGTGGAGAAAATACAATCTTACTGACAAAGCTTGTTAAAAAATCTAGTAAATATAAAATATAGCAATTCAAACAATAAAAGAAAAGAAACAATTCAAAATCACAAATACCCAGAAACACAATTTGAGCAAAACTAAGTTCGCATATCTAATAGACAATATATAACAATAGAAAATAAAATTTAACAAAGTTTGTAGACAAAATAGTTTGTATAGTACCTTTCAAAAGATGTAAATAACAAATATACAGAATTTGAACATAAGTTCACATGTCATGGTAGTTAAATAAGATCCATCCCAGTATAAAATATAATTTATAGTATAGGTGTCTATATAAACAACCAAAAAAAAAACACCTATATTAAATCACAGCAAAGTTCCATTGTAATATTCATCAGGATTGTAGTACCCTTCAGTTGCAAGGGCATCTTTAACAAGGTTTCTGAACTTTGTATAGCTTTTTTTCTTCCTAATTTCGTAAGGTATGTGATAATACAGCTTTTAACTTTCATAAATTAAAGAATACTTTGTCTCGCTTGTTTTTGGAACAGGAAGTTGTATTTCATTTTCAGTTACTTTCTGGGTTATGTAATTTGTATGTTTCGGAGTTCCAACCATATTATGTTTTTTGTAAATCAGGCAAACAGTTTCAAGTATGAAAATACAAGCAACAGTGAGAATTTTTTCTCACAAAAATAATGATCTGCATGACTAACGCACTCCCACCTTGCATAAGTATCTAACCGCTCGCTTTTGCAAAACAAACACTGAATGAAAAAGTTGTTGACTGCAAAATCCCCATGATCTTTAGTAACTGATTACATCTATAGTTAAGTAATCTTTGTCCCACAACAACTTCTTGCCATTGGAGTAGTTAATATTGAATTCAGTTACTAACAGTTCTCTTGGATGACGTGCTTTTGAGTAAAAAAATCCACGGTAAATTACAGTTCTTGTTTTCTGATAATCTGAGATTTAGAAAAAGTTGATTCCAGAACCCATGCGAAACCAATAAAATGGGTCATACTTACATTACCTTCCATGTATATTCTAGAAGCCGTATTGTTTGTACATAAAAATAAATATAATAGTGGCTCCAGCATTCACAATTATGATACAAAACACAAAGATATCATCAGGCTACCGAAGATGCATTATCGAACCATAGGCAAACAAACGGAGTTTCTTCCCATTAAAAAATATAACACTTTGCCTAGTGAGTGGAAAGACCTTCATATCAAAGAATTGAAGTTCAAAGTAAAAAATTCACTTGTCACCCAAGGTTTCTATAAGATTGATGAGGTATTCAATGATCAGTGGACCTAATATATGTACCATATGTGTGTATGTGTGTATATATGTGTATTTATACCGTGAGTCATAACTGTTGTGAGATTTTTTTTATGTACTCTGTATATTTTTTATATTTTCAGTATGACGTACCTAAGCAAATTTTGTTATTGCAGATATTTTCGAATGTAACAGAAATTGTGATTTGAGGTCAATAAAATTTATTTCTTTCTTCATAAAAAAACATAAATTCGCAGTAATCGTTCATAAAATAGAATCAATTTCATAAAAATTGTTTTTGAAATTTCAGAAAAATCCGAATTACCAGTTAGAACTTCCTAGTGAACAGCTGGCAAAGTCGAAGGACGATTCAGAAGAAAAATTTAACAAACTTGTAACACCAAAGAGAACCAAAAAGGTAAGAAATTTTAACAGAACTCGATTCATACAAACTGATATTCAGAAAGCTGGATGTCTGTATATTATAAAGTTTTTTGAAAGACATAAAAAAACTTATTTTCAAAAATGAGGGTCAACCCCAATGATTGGTTAGTTTAACAAGTTGAAAACTCCGAAATCAAGCATGAAACTTGATCACAAATATGCAAACCATCACATCGAAAATATTGCAGATGTAAATTAGTCAAAGGTACTATAAAAATAAATGGCCTTAGTTTTTGAGCAGGTGTCAAGACCTACTTTAAAATGAACAAAATCATGGTACTTACCCTCTCTACTGCTCTGTTCAAAAAGTAACAAGGTCTTGAAGGATCTTTCCTTTAGGGAAAAGGCGAGATAATGGTCTTCCATTTCCTACCAACGAGAAATTGTTTCTCCACTTCCAGGACAGTGTTCTGTATATTGTAACGATCCCTTGCTATCTTATAATGTTTCCTCCAGGTAATCTATAGATTACCTGGAGGTATGAGGATCATTTTGAAGTGTCATAGAGATACCCCTATTACTACTATACTTAATGTTTTAAATTGGCAATCCATTTCCCAAAGACTATTATATTTTACAATGATTTTTGTGTAGAAAATATTGAACAATTTACGACCATCTTATTTCGAACAGTACATTGTCTTTCATCATGATATTCACCACCACTTCACTCGAAATAATAATAATTTATATATACAGGGCTATTCAAATTCGTTTCTGTACATGGGGATCTCGTAAACGACAAGAGATAGAGTGTCGGTTAAACTGTGGCAAAGTTGTGTATTTAAGAGACCTATTCAATGATGTAAAGAAATCGAATATAGCTCTTTTGGTTCTGGAGATATACAGAAAAAATAAAAAAATCCCAAAATATTTTTTTGCCTATATCTTCTTTATTCGCAGACATATTGAAAATCTGTCCACATTTTGCTATTGGTACTTGATGTTGACTCTCAGAATATATTCATGAATCTTTTATACAGGGTGTCATCTGACTTGGGCCACCCCCATCTTTGAATTTTTAAATACGGACCTGTATTTTTTGTTGTATTTTTTGTATCGTTGACATTCACTTTATGCTGAGAAATTGAATTGAATTTTATATTTCAGGATTTTTCGGTAATATTCAATTATAATTGTGTGTATTATTCCCTTTTGAATTACGGCCCTGGAAATTGGTTGACTGAGTTGAATAAAAACACAATAGCAACTTTCACGTCTCCCTATGTACCGTAGAGTTTTTCGAGAGTTTTTTTTTTCATTTTTAGGTACCTATTCATATTTTTTCCATTGCTCTGAGCGTTTTCTACAATGAACTTCGAATAAGAACATCTTTTATGATTATTTGAAACATATCTACATCAAAAATATACTATATGTGTTTTAATAAGCAGAAAAAGAAATGAAATGGCATTTTTAAACTCGGTTTTTCATATTATTTATTGCCCTTAATACACTTATTTGCTGCATTGTTGCGAATTCATTCAAAATCCTCAATCTCGAGTCTTCCACATTTTCTATCTCCCTGCCAGCGTAAATTCTATTTTTCAATGTCCCCATAGAAAATAGTCCAAAATAGTAAGATCTGGTGATCTTGCAGACCATCTTATTGTCCCATTATTTGTCTCGAAATGGAAGGACTCCAATTCGAACATTTATTGCACAATTAATTTTTTTGTTTATATGAATTACTTACTTCATTTCAATTTTCAGTATAATTATAGTGTTCGTTTCAGATGTTATTATTGCCACCATTTTTTTTCCTGCTCATCAAAACACATATAATATATTTTTGTTGTAGATATGTTTATGATAATCATAAAAGATTTTCTTATTCGAAGTTCATTGTAGAAAATGCTCAGAGCAATTGAAAAATATGAATAGTTGCCTAAAAATGAAAAAAAAAAACTCTCGAAAAACTCTACGGTACATAGGGAGACGTGAAAGTGGCTATTGTGTTTTTATTCAACTCAGTCAACCAATTTCCAGGGTCGTAATTTAAAAGGGAATAATTCACACAATTATAATCGAATATTACTGAAAAATCCTGAAATATAAAATTTAATTCGATTTCTCAGCATGAAGTGAACGTCGACGATACAAAAACTACCCAAAAAAATACAGGTCCGTATTTAAAAATTCAAAAATGGGGGTGGCCCAAGTCAGATGACACCCCGTATAAAAGATTCATAAATATATTCTGAGAGCCCACAGCAAGTGCCAATAGCAAAATGTGGACAGATTTTCAATATGTCTGCGAATAAAAAAGATATAGGCAAAAAACAATTTTGGTTTTTCCTGTATATCTCCAGAACCAAAAGAGCTATATTCGATTTCTTTACATCATTGAATAGGTCTCTTAAATACGCAACTTTGTCACAATTTAACCGACATTCTATCTCTTATTGTTTACGAGATCCCCATGTACAGAAACGAATTTGAATAGCCCTCTATATAAATAGAAAAAAAAACAAAAACACCATGAGTTCTTTGTTTTTCAAGGGTTTTGATCGGTTCAACAAATTATCAAATGCAATTAAAAATAGCCCATCTCTGAACATGTTCATAAACGAACTGAAGACATATGTTTTCAATGTACAAGTATGATATGTATTATGTGTAAGTATGATATGTATTATGTGTTTGTTACCTGTAGGTACAACTTTCTTTCTAGAGATATTATCATGCCTATCTTATTGATCGACTTTAGAATGTATTCATCTAATGTTTGTCATATATTTTTTAAATCATTTCGATATGTTACAATTGTGTAACAAAAATATTAGAAATGTATGTAAATTAGGATTTTCTTATTTCAAATAAAGATTATTTTTATTATTATTACTATACCCTACCTCAAAAGCTGAAAAAAAATCAAACATTATCGTAAGTGAATAAGGACTTGTTTTATTTCCCTCAAACATGTTTGGGGTTGATTATATTTCCCCATTTGTTGTACTCTGAATTTAGTATTGTAATTTCTCGGGACTATACATTTATCGTGCTCAATAATTGTATTTACTTACATAAATATTTCATATAAATGTACGTTCCTGTACTTTTAATTTGAATTGCTTCCATATTCATTTCGGATTTATTTTTTTAGGCTGCTCCCGTCAAAAGACAAAATTCAGACTCTGGCAGCAGTAGTAAGAACTCTTTCTCTAAAAGAGCTAGGCAGTCTACTCCGAGGATGGATGAAAATGGTGTTGCGGACGGTATTGGTACAGTTGGATCAGCGATTTTGAATTTTCCTTCAATCACGGACGCTCCCGTAAGTAAATCAAACGTAATTTTTAGGGTATTTTTAATTGGACATTGTTAGTGATTCGTTATTAGAGAAAATGAATTCAGCAGAAGTACAAGTGTAGTATGAGTCCTTTTATTTCTCCCAGCGATGCTTCCATCTCTACAACCCATCCAAGTAGTAGGTATTCGGCGTTTTTTCTGAAAAATAATTGTTTACAAAAGCGATTGCCTCTTCATTCGACGAAAATCTCTATCTTTCGAGCGCAATATTTAAATGGGAGAAGAAAAAGAAGTCGCTTGGGCTAGATCTGGTTAGTGAGGCGGATGGTCAAGCAGTTCAAACCGTAATTCGTGGATTTTCGCCATGGCAATCGCTGAGGTGTGAGATGGTACATTGTCTTGGTGGACAGGATTTTCTTTTTCTGCAAATGTGGCCGTTTTTTCGCAAGTTGCCGTCAGCTTGTCAAGTAAGGATGCGTATTATGCTCCTGGAATGATTTTTGAAGATAACTGGTTAAAATAACTCTTTGACTATTCCAAAAGACAGTCGCCATCACTTTCCCAGCCAGAAAATCAGTTTTCTTTTTTTTAGAGCCGGTTCCCGTCCCGTGCAGTCCACTGTTTGGACTGTAGTTTTGTTTCAGGCGTATAATGGTGTATCCAAGTTTCATCTGCAGTAATTGATCGGCGCCAAAACTCAGATTTATTGCGCCTGAACTGCGCCAACAGAGCATTAGAAATGTTCATTCAAACGCGGTTTTTGTCTAACGTGAGCAAACGCGGCACCCAACGCGCGGACGGTATATTCTGTCGTACTTTGTGTGCAATTGCATATTTCACCCTGATATTTAAATTGTAGTCTGCTCTGTCTGTACTCGTACTTATCATTTTGAAATTTAACTTTTTACTTTCTAATTTTGCTTCTTGTCTCTATAATTAAATTTTTTTTACATGTCTTATACCACTTGTGGCCTTCAGAATAATAAATTTGATTGATTGATTGATTGTTCTCATGACTGGATGTTGATTTGATATGTGACCACGTTCTTTTGACATATTCATAACCTCTGATATCTCTCTCACTATAATTCAGCGGTTGTCTAGCACCATTTGGTGAACATTGGCGATGTTTTATTCTGTAGTTGCAGTTTTTAGATGTCCCGAACGTTGAACTTCTCGCAAGCTCTTACAGCGACGTTTAAATTCGGCTGCCCAAAATTTCACTGTGGTAAATGATGATGAAGAGTCTCCATACTCATCTTTGATTTTTATAGGCGTATTGCCTTTCATAAACAGATATTTAATGACAGCTCAATACTCGTAAACATACTCAATAAACATATTAAGTCCAACATAATCAACCAAGCATCATCAACATAGGCATTACCAAACAAGACTTTCTGAATTGTGAGTGATGGTAAATTTCATAGACAAGCCAAGACAATTTATTTTCCAATGGATGTTACAATACAAGGTACCGTACATTAAGGGAATCTCTTCTTCAAATGAGATTTTCAGAAGATGCAACACGTGTTGCGATTTTGTAAAATATCCAGTGAAAACCCATTTGCATTGCGGGTTCCCCAATATGGTATTCAGAGCTCATCAGAAACCACTTCTTTTTTTTTAAGCTTTTTCAATCACTCGAATAAATGTTTTAGCGTCAGGTGTAGTTTTTGAAAAGAAACCACTCTGACTGCATATCCTCTGGAGGCAATCTTACTCTTGAGTTGTCTGATGTTTTTATCAAATTGGAACATGTTGTCAATGAAAACACTAGAAACATTCATCTCTCTCTGTAGGTCTAGGTAGTTGGGAGAGATAAATGTTTCTCCGGCTAATACCACGCTGGATATTGAACTATATCCAACAGACATGCAAGATACTCCACAGAGTTAGACTTATAGATGTTTCTAATTTATTCAGCAGCAGTACCTTGCTGAAATAGTCGAGTAGATCACCTAGAGATAGGTTTTGAGGTATAATTTGTCATCAGTGCAGGAAAGATCCGATCAAAACAACAAAGTGCTTAGGACTTGATTAGTTTCCACGCGGCTCAACTGCTTGTATGAAACCTTCATCTAAGAGAATGATTGTTAACAAGTAATAGCTCCATCTCGTGAACAAAGCCACAAGTGGGGAAGAAACATCCCATGTACCAATACTCTAACAGAGAGAGTTGACCTACTACATTGCAATACTATTCTCATTGCTCGATTTTGTAGCTTTTGTAATTGGGATATTTTATTAAGATCAAGACAGTATAGTAATGTAGAGCAATATTCAAAATGAGGTTGAATGATAGTCTTATACACAGTTATTCTGGAATTCAGACTTGAGTTTTGGGACACTCTAGAAAAGAAATATAGTTTTGATATATTCAAAGTGGCTACTGAATAATAAATGATTATCCAACATAAATCCCAGATATTCAAATTCCTTTACAATTTCAATTTTTTCATTGTTTATTTCTATGTTAATGTTACTACTATTTATTTGTTCATATTTATAATGTGTAGTAATTATCATTGCCTTACTTTTACTTACATTTAACTTCAATTTATTCATTTTCAAATATCTATCCATATTTTTCAGCACATCATTTATTTTGATCACTGCTCTATCGATATTCCCATCACTTAGTGATACCAGACTATCATTTGCCAATATATGAATGTAGTCACATTCAACATATTTTTCCATATCATTAATATACATTAAAAACAATAGAGGGCCCAAAATACTACCCTGAGGAACTCCATGATTCACTGTAATAGCTGACGACATTACATCACAAATTTTTGTTGTCTGTTTTCTATTTGTAAGATATCCTCTGATCAAATTAAATATTTTACCCTCTACACCATATTTATTTAGTTTTTTTAATAATATCTCTCTATTTACTGTTTCAAAAGCCCGTTTTAGATCCAGTGATACTGCTATAGTGTACAGATGATTACTCATTTTTTCCTTCCATTTAGTGACGGTGAGTTGTATAGCTGATCCACATGTGCTTTAATCTAAAGCCAGACTGATTAGTGAATAGAAAATTATTTGAGTTGATATATTCCAATAACTGTTGATAAACTACTGTCTCTAATAGCTTTTCTTCAAATGGCAAAGGATTGGTCTAAACTCACCACTTTTACTAGTATTTGCAACCTTTTCGATAGGTGTAACAGTGCTGGTTTTTAATTCCTCAAGAAATGTGCCATTTTCCAATGATACATTCACAAAGTGGCACTACACATGACCAATAACATCAAAGCTATTTTTCACAACTTTACTGTTTAGTTCATAAATTTGCCCTCCTTTATTTTCTAGATTTTTTATAATTATACCCAACTCACGTATAGATACTAATTTAAAATTACTGATTTTTTTTTCATTCCACTGTATGTTACAAGAAAACTCAATATCTTCAATACTAGACACCATATCATCAATACTATTGACAAAGAACTCATTAAAATCCCCAGAAATCTCTCCTCTATCTCTTACACAAAAAATCTGACAATTTTTTTCGAATTGAACACCATTGCAGTGACATATACAATGCCATATACATACATAATATTTTGTAATATTGATATTTTTTTTTATTTTAACTATTTTGTAATTCTTGACTTATCTGTATTGCTCTGTTTGTACACCTAAAGAATAAATAAATATATGTTTAACACCACGCTGGATATTGACAGTCAGAACCAGTGCAAAGGAAGAAGAAGAAAATCAATGTATGCAATGTTAACAAGTTTTACAGTGTTGCCAAGTACATATCAAATGTTAGTAATGTCACGATCATTGTTTTCACTCGATTTCGTTTTGAACTACCGACAATAAAATTGTAAAATATATAAAACAAGGTACTGTTGTACATGTTCTATGCAATTATCCTGTTATCAGTGTAAAGCTCCATCGAAAATGAAAACTATGGGTTAAAGAACACTTTTCGGTCTATATTCTTGTCTAGTTAATGTGTTGACTTCTAGTCATGAGTTCAATTTTTTTCCAGGAAAGCCCAACAGTGGACCTCAACAACCTGTCTGAATTATTGAAAACAAAAAACATATCTGCTTCAAAGTTGACTTTCGGATTCATTGGGCTTGGCACAATTGGATCTGGCATTGTGAAAAATCTCATCAACTCCGGACATAGAGTGAATTTGTACAGTAGGACTATGAAAAAGGTTAGTGGATTTTGTTGTTTTTTTTTTTCAATCTCCCGTGGAAATATTGAAATTTTATTACTGTTGCAAAGAGGTGAGCGAAGTCCAAGTAAAAAATTACGAATAATTCATACTTTTGATGGAGCCACTCAAATGATAAACAGCTGATGGGAATAGTTGAATGTGAAACAGGTCCAGTTTATTGTTTTGCAATTTTGGTGTGTTTCGAGTTGTTCAATTGCGAGTTTGTGAAAGTTTTTTTTTTTAATTATCATAAACATTAGAAACTGATGAATACATGAAATGAATTGCCTTCATCAATAAAAGCACAAGACGCGGTATAATTTGGGATAGGCTGCACCAGACGATTTTGTGTGTGGTCACTTATTTTGAGGTGTAGATTACGTACCCGAAAGAAAAACTTTGTGCTCTCCCTCATTTGTAGATTACCTCCTTTTTTTTGATGAGTATGATAAGTTCTATACGCTTGTGTACGTATGATACCTTGTATAAAATTTGATAAATAATACTATTATTATTATTTTATGAGTTATAGCAGTCAGAAGTTACGAAACTTTTTAGTCTTATTTTTGCACATACAAACTATAGAATCAAAAGTATATGTTTACTACACCACCTTCACATCTCATTTCACCTTCTTTGACACTTCTCTCAGTTCAATGATCAACATTTTTTTTTCTATAAAAATCTCAACTGATTGACAAAACTAATTTTTTTTCAAAATATATTAAACATACTTCGGGCCTGAACTCGGGCATTTGACATGCCCCAGTTCAGGTGAAAAACACCTTTCCCCTTGCCTCTCATGTGGACCTACAACTTTGTAGGTACGTGTGATAAATACCCGATGAAAATCAACAACTAACCCAGCTAATGCCGCGCAGAAAGCTGAAATAAATAAAGCCATTTGGAAGAATCTTTGTAAGTAACTTCCTATGTATATATAAAGCAAAAATCAATTTCATTTGTTGGATATGACCACAGATAGACCAGTTTTGGAGTACTTGCTCCTCATCAGTACAGGGCAGGTCATTTTAGACGGAGTGAACTGTCTGAAAATCCTGAACAAACAACGACCAAGCGTCTTTGTTTCATTCAGGTTGGAGCCCAGCTCCCTTACCCTTTTAGCTGATTTTTATTGAAGGACAAATTGGTTCACCTGAACGAACAAATTTAATTCTAACTAGCCATAAGCTCTTTCTGCAGTTGATTCAGTAGGATGTTCACTGCGCCATCTGCAGACGAAGTTCGGGAACAACTCCACAAACACATACTGCGGGTTGGGAGTCAGAATCATTAACATATTTTCGAGAGGTTACATATGACGTGTCCAAGTTCAGGTGAAAAACTCCTTACCCCTTGTCTATCATGTGAGCGTACGACTTTGTAGGTACATGTGGCAGATACCCGACGGAAAAACAATGTAAAATAGGTTACCTTGATTAAGTTATTGACTATACCTGATCTAGGGACAGGCATTAGCACACCAAACTACCTATGTCAACACGAACACGCATTACGCAGCCTTAATATCCAGTCATCGGAGATAACTTAGGATGTATAAACAAACCTCTGAAGAAGCTAGCCACTCGCGTTAGCGAAACGTCAGGAAAAAATTCCAAAAATCGGCGGCCTTCAAACTCGAAAAATAGTGACACCGGAATTATTACTAATAAACAGGATGTCCAAATAAAACATGGGTTCATTCAACACCAAATATCTGCTACTCAATCAAATGGAACGAGGAAATTTTTCAACCAAATATCCTTGAGGACAGTGTATTTTCATTTCGACTTCATAAATTTACCGAATGGCGCTTTTTCTATACAGGGGGAAACAAAACTCAGGATCACTTTTTCAACTCAGTTTTTTAAAAGCGAACACTCTGTACATAGGGTCATATTTGATTGGGTAGGAGATGTTGTGTGTTGAATGAACCACCCGGTATAAACGCAAACAATTCTATATTTTTGAGAAGCACTGTACCCATGAAATTCAACTGAATGAAAATATCTGGAGAAAAAAAAAACATGGACACTCTGTATATTAGTAATGCTTATCAATGTAAGGATATACAAATGAACAGCAAATAGTAAAAAATAATAATATTTATTGGTTTCTTTAGGACATCCTAATATACAGACATTATTTTAAAAATATATAAATAAATGACATAAATAACAAAATTGATGATAGAAGAAAAAAAATTAATAAAAACCATTTTTCAATGATTCCAGAATGGTTTCAACATGAGGATATACATAATAAATATATTACCAAACAGAAAAAAGAAAATCAAGGATGATATTTTATATAGTTCATGAGTTTTTTTTAATTGGAAAACATTTATTGAATCTTTCAACGAAATTGGGAGTTTGTTATACTCATTCAAATCTTTATAAAATAAAGACTTCATCTTACTAGTGAAAATAGTTTGAGGAAGGTGGAATTTTTGGGAGCTACTCGGTCTTGTTAAGTGGTTATGAATTTGAGATTTATATATACAGAATTCTTCAAAGCAAGTTATGTGTTAGTTTGAAAATGAATATCATTGCTAACTCGTACAGTCTCTGGGAAACAGACAGCCACTGCAATGTACTTAATATGTTTGACATACTAGAATAACTGTTCACTTGTAAAATAATCCTCATTCCACGATTCTGTAACTTTTGTAAAGCCGATACCTTATTTTGGTCAAATGAGTATAAAAGACTAGCACAATAATCAAAATGGTGTTGGATTATACAATTATATAATGTAAATATTGAGTACATCGAAAGCTGAGATGACCATAAAGTCGATTGTTGAAATTCCTCAACGGTGTAGTAGCTTCTGTCGAAAAGAAATGTAGGCTCTAAAAGAAGGCAACTCTTATGGTAAAGAACAGTTCGATGGGGGCGAGATAACTCTTATGTTAAGCATCCTTCTAGCCCTAGTACGGTAGGAATGATCTGTCTAGAGTAAAACCTACTCGTCTTTTTTTCAAAGAAATATACATTACTCATGTATGTGAATACCAGTAACTATATTTTCAGTTCTTTTAAAGAATTTCCACACCTTTCCCTCCGACCCAGTTGGTTATTTATTCTAATAGTATTTGCAGTATAAAAACCCTCTCTGCAGCGGAACCCATACCCCAGTCCAAAAATCTAAATCGAAGGTGACAAACAATAGTGGCATGATACACATTTATCAATACTCTCTTACCACAATTATTGGACATGACTAATTTTTTGGGAAAGAAAGTTTTTGGATTTCTACTACTTCATCTTGATACAAAAAATATCTGAATCTTCCAAAGAAAGCAATTTTTAAAGAAGTAACTCTATACATGGATGTGTAGATCATGCAAAGAAGTAATTTCAGACACAAACTGAAAGAAAAACCTTCCTGAAACAGCTACTTTCATATAAACATTGAATTACACCAAAGAACAATTTTTTCGAATCAAATACTTTTATATGTACACTGAATTATACAAAATACACATTTCTCTACTCAGTTTGTATTCCAAACATTTGTTATGGAGTTAAATCAGATATCATTCACGGGATTTCTACACAGTATACTAAATGGAAGGTAAAAATTTCACTTACATGGAACACTGTCGTCCTCACTGGTAGACATCGGTGTTTCGCCGTAAGGGCAGTACCAATCTGGATAACATAAGAAAAAATACACAATTCATTCATAAATTACCATTTTTTTATGTCATGGAATAAATTTGATTGATCTACTGATGTCATCGATGACATCGTAATGACATTCATTCACTGGTTTGTATGTCAAATTCGTAAACCCATGTCTCATCTCCAACTACAATGTGTTTTATAATGTGGGTTCGGAACTGACTTGTTGTAACATGCCTTCAGCGACTTTTATGCAATTGAGATTTCGCAGAAAATTCAGGTGTAGCCAAGCGGTAATCGTTTGAATTGGTACGGACTGATTCGTGAGACGTAGAAACTTCAGCGGCTCTCCCCCAGACTCAACGACGATTTTCATTCGCCATTTCCGTTTCTTCAGCACTGTCAAGTTCGGTTGAGGATGTTTTTGATGAAGTTGATTCACTGTAAGTCTTATGCAACATATTCAGCGCTTTGACACACGAAATTCCATTTTTTTTAATGACAAAACACAAGCAGTACAGGAAAATCCTTCAGGCGCTTTTTGAGGGGTACCTGTGCGAAAGTAGAGATTTACATTGGATTTGAATCGCTAGAGATTAAATCCATTTGGAAGTTTATTCCACATAAACGCAGTTCTTCAAATGAGAGAGTTCTCAGACAGTGGATTTCGAGGTGTACTGAGTTGAACCTCAGAAACGATGAGCAGCCACAGGTCGTCGCGTATTTCTAATATGTACCGCTCTTGGTGGAATCAAATGTGTCATGTCACTTGAACAGTTTCTGTGAAGAGAGACAAATCTCCAACCTTTCTTCGCTGTTCCAAGCTATCAAGGTTGCAAGTGATGCAAGCTTTTGAGAAGCAACCTTTGCAATTCCACTGACATGATTGTGTCAAGACATATTGGTGTTCATTTTTTTTTTAATCTCTTTATTTACTCAGATTGATTTGTATAACCACAGGAGCAGAAGTACAAATGAAAAAGAGGAAAACGTCAATGTACAATATTGAAAAGAAATAAAACATACTTTTGTATACAAAACACACGAGACACGGTAGAGGATGTGCCCCAGTTAAGGATGCCATATCTAAGATGCGAATTGAAGTTTGCGTAATAGACAACCCCCCAACAAACTTTTTGAGGCAGAAAGCGGAGATGCATTTGCAGTGTAAAATTCAAGACGAATTCTTTGATTGATATTTTCATACATTGTGAAAATCGTAAAACAAGTTTGAGGTTAATTCACAAATTGACTACTGTAAGCAAACTGAATGGCAGATGGCGCTAAAGCTCCATGTGAATATAGAGGACATTTGTGCCAATCTGGCGACAAAAATAATTTCGGCACTCGCGGTCGAATACTATTGAAACA